AGAGGGCAAACTTATTGAAGTGAATAAACAATTAATTAGTAATCCTGAGTTAATTAAATTTTATCCCGTTAGTAACGGTTATATTGCTTTAATATTGCCGGTATTCGGTAAATATGACAGTTTTAAAGATGTTATGTTAACATCAAATGAATATTTTGAATAAAAACGACAACAAATAAAAGTTTACTTTTTCTAAATTATCCTCTTGTTTTTTAATTACTCTTAATAATTAAATGGCGTGATAAAATGATACAGGAATTAGTCGTGAAAGAGTTAAATATGAATATTAAAAATTAAAATTAAAACACTTTCGATGACGAGAACACACACGTCTACCTTTCTATGATAAAGAGTTTTAGGAAATCTAAAAATGTTTGTTTAATTTTATCTTTACCACTGCAATTTATACGGTATATACCTGGAAAGATGTAATTGCTTTTGTATATCTACAACAATTATTTACAAAGAGATAAAAATACTTTAAAAGTTGACTCATGTGACTTCTAGAAAAAAGATATTAAACTTTCCAGTACATAATTGCCAATAGAAATGATCGTCAGGCAAAAGATGGCGTTAATTAAAAGTTATTAAATTTAAAGTTTATTATCCTAATTTTATTATTTACTTTTTTGTATTAAATCCATATAATTTAAACCATTTGCAGCATAGGTTCAGATATTTGCGGAACAACTAAAACTAGATTAGTTTTACATCCAGCGGTACGTTGTACATTTTTATTGAACTAAAACTAGAAACACTATTAACACAAAACCCAGAACTAGAAACATTCTGGTTTAGCCGTCTTAAGAGACACATGGCTAAACCCGAATGATTCTAGTTCTAGGTCTAGTGTGAGATCTAATTTTATTTCAATAAAAATATACAACAACCTAGCTCTGAATAACAACTAAAACTAGAACTAACCCTAGCACTCGAACTAACATTATGCTGGTTTGGAAGCAGCAGCTTTGCCCTTACCCTTACTTTTGAAACTTACCTGGTCTTTACCCTTCTTGGGATCCTTAGAGGTTTCAGAACTTCCTGACTTTGTCCTTTTCTTGTGACGTAGACTTGCTGGTCTTTGGCCTCAGTGTGGTTTGCCTGAATTTGTAGCTAATCTTGTAGTTCGCTTTTTAAGGCTATCTATAGAGGGATGATCAACAGCACTGCTACCTTCAGTCGTCCTATTGAGCACCCGCCATTCGTTGGTGTCCAAGCCCTCATTTTGACCTTTAACAATCTTCAGAATACGGTCCGATTTCTCTTGCACACTGTTTGGAAAATAGGCGTTCAAGATAGTCACTTTTGATTCGCATAGTTTGCGCAGTTGACCACCAGCCAACCTGCTTTGAAGGTGGTTATGAGAAATTTTGGCTTAATCTTGCCTTCGTATCCCTCGCTAAGGTCCACTATTCTTGAAATACACCTCTTGACTACTAGCCTGCTTTTGGGCTGTGGTGAGGTTCATCTCTAAAAATAGGGAATCTACAATCTCCATCTTTTTACCTTCTAACACCTGCTTGAAGCTTTTGTTCCTGCGGAAAGCAGTCTCCGTTAAGAATGCTACGTGTCAGGCCTTTTTGGCTCTTGGCCCTCTTCTTCTCTTCATTAATATAGTACAGTAAGACCTCGTTTAGCTCCCTAGATGCGTTCCTGAAGGTAGGAGCGCTAAACGAAATAGCGTTATATGAGGTCATTTTAACACATAGTAAATAGGGAAACGGGAATATGCGACCAAAATGGAAAAATAAACAAATTTAACTTTAATTTTAAACTGTAATACTAGTAATTTGTATTTTATATAACACAACCATTTGCACAAATATATATAAAGTTTATATTTGTGATAAAGGTCCTGACTCTTTTGATATTGTAGATTTTTTGGCGAAGAAATCGTCTAGAGTCATTTGTTGCTTTCTTTCACTTGCATTAAGGAAATGTCGGTAACAGGCGATTGCATCCAAAACTCCTCGTCTTGCTTTTGCACTCCTGTAAAAAATTGGGTCATTCGCTACAATTGATCTACTATATCGGTTATCGTTTCCAAACCTTTTTTAAGATAATCTAGTAATTTCTTTTGGTTCATCGTCTTCAGAACTACTGTTTTCGCCTTCTTCAATTCCTGGAGGTCATCGTCGGTAAGGCCTTCACCAGAAACCTACAGTAGCTCCTCAATATCTTGCTCATCTACATCTCCTGCTGTTTCGACTAGATTGACAATTTAACCAACAATAGGCTCTTCTCGTTGATAATCCTGGGATACCTCCGGCTATATCTTCTTCCACACTCCATTCATGCATTTCTTAGTTAATCTTGCCAAGCGACGTCGATTTTGCCTATGGCGTCCAGGATGTTATATTTTTTTGCAAAATTGTTTCTTTATCAATCTGTTTTATCAGTAAGTTGTTGAAATGTACGACGAAGATAATGTGCCTTAAAATTTGCAATAACTCCCTGGTTCATGAGCTGAATTAACGACGTAATGTTGGGTGGTAGGTAAACTATTTCCACCAACGCTCGTGTTTAAGTTCGATAGGTTGATGGGATGACTTGTTGTGTTACCAAGCTTGTATAGAGCTTTTACTTCAAAATTATTTAGTTCACAGTAACGTTTTACAGATGAATAAAAATGTGTGGTAAACCAATTTTGAAAAATGTCTCTTGTGATGCAAGATTTCTTATCGAATTCCTAAATGATGGGTAGACTAGATTTTAGTACTCTTTTCATGGTCTTTGGGGTTTTGGCATGATACTCAAGTAGAGGTTTTAATTTTAAATCGCCGTTGGCGTTACCACCTAGAAGAAGGGTGAAATGGTCTTTTGCAGCTTAGAAACCCGGTGCTCGGATTTTTATCGCGATATAAATATGCGCTTTGGCATTCTCACGTTAAAAACCAATTCTGGTGGATAATTTCCTCTTTCAATTATGGCTTGTAAGGTTGCAGGAAAAATTGAAATCTGCACTCGCTGCTCCTCCGGTGATTCGATTGTTGTGGATTTTGCATCTTTTTTTAAAATTATCGAACCAACCTCGGCTAGCTGTAAAATTTTCACTCGTATCTTCTCTTTAATTTTGAATATGATTAATAATATTTATGGCCATTGATGATTTTTTAACTTAACGGTATGTTGCGTTCGATTACATCATCAGTCCAAATGCAAATACGTTTTTCCATTTCTTCTAAAATATGTATTACTTCTTGATCGCGTTATCTTTGCTGCACTAGACGATGTGGTAGTAATTGCTGACATGAATTTGAAGCATTTCAATGTCAACTTGACGTTCACCGTTTACAATCTAAAAGAAAATAAGGATTAAATTTAAATAAACAAATATTTATTTGATTTTCTTACAATATAATAATCTCTATTATTACTCCACATAAACTAATTACGTTTTACGTAGAACGTGAAAGTGTTGAACACTCTTTAATAGCTTAAATGCACCAAACAAGCATAAATTCTGGGGAATCACAGAATTACGTACATATTCGAATCAATGAAATGCTGCAATAATTTGAATCCGGCTATATTTTAAGCATTTTTAAGGTTCTCAACAAACCGCGTTATAGCAAATCAGCGTTAATCGAGGTCTTACTGTATATAGTATGTATGGTATTTGCTCGGGCTTCCACAGGAGTTAACCCTTTTTTGTTCAGCACCGCTGAGGTTCTGTTCTTTTACCTGGAGCTTCTCAATGGTCCCATGTAGTTTTATACTGTCTGTTGTAGAGACACTGCTTGTTGTAGAGGAAGTGGAGGACTCTGCGGTTCCACTTGTTGAAGCCGATTTCTGCCTTGATGCGTTCGGAGTTCTTCTTTTTCCCACGAGTAGCTAGGGAAAGAAGGTCCGCCATGGTAGAGCCCCGTATGCTGCAGTAAGCGGTTTTGATAAAACTGGAGGTCCCGAGATGTCCAGAGTCAACTTATTATAAACCAAGTATTACCCTCTTGGCCAATGCTATAAAGTGATAAAAGTCTTCGGCATAAGCTGTTCCACCTTGACTTTGGGGTGGAAGTTAATGCAAGATTAATGAGGTTGTCTTCTCTCAATCCAGGCGATTAAGTCAAGATACACCGTGCTGGATTCCAGCACATGGTAATATAATAGGCGCCGTTACCTTCCATGCAAGTCCTTAGCCACGACATGGCAACTTGGACAGGGCTGTGGTAATGCCATTTAGTTAATGATTTTCCTTACCTCATAGGAGTAGTGGAAGCCATAAGGAGGTAGACACTCGATGGAGCGCTTCTTCCACTCCCGCAGAAAGCCACGCTAACCCACCCTATAGCAAGCGTGTAAACTATGCTACATACAAGCAGTAGCTAGTAACGCTACCATAACAATATTGAATGTTTATATTCATGGAAATATTGTCATTTGAAACAGCTAGACAACAAAAGATGGCGCTGGCGTATATTGGAAGATTAAAAAAAATTCATTTATATTTTTTTATTGTTTAATTTTAAAAAGATCCTTATCCAATTTTAATTAAGATTACCATTTAGGAAAAATGATTCATTAAAATTTATTAGAGCCGCCTTAATGTCCTAATAAAGTTGCGGATAGTCGAGGCACAAAAACGGAAACCGTTCGCTACGACCGGTAGTCTTCTTTTTTTATTTTCTTTTTCCTTCAAACTTCTCTCCAACTTTGTAAGGTCATCGATTTTACGAACTCGTCGTATGCGCCGTAAATGGATAGTTGCCAAATACGGTTATCGCACGTTATTCACGCTGCAATCTAAAAACTTCACGGGCCGGAAATGTTTAAAGTCTATTGAACGTGTTTCGTCACGGAAAAATTTTATTGAAACGTAATTGATAAATTGACTCATATTTCTTTATACAACATAAAATTAAAATGACAATTTTGTCACTTTTTTGAAACGTAACCTTTAAGATTTTGAAAAGTATGCATAAATTTCCGTTTGATGTAAATTTAAAATTAATATAAAAATGGTTTTTTATTCTAACGATGAATTTTTTTATGATTTTTAGGCATCGGGTGTCACCGTTTCTGATGCCTGCAAGACCACTTATGAGGAGATTAAGAAGGACAAGAAACACCGTTACGTCATTTTCTTCATCAAGGATGAGAAACAGATCGACGTTGAGGTGGTCGGAACTCGGGAGGAGGAGTACGACAAGTTTTTAACCGATCTTCAAGCTGGCGGAGCCGGTGAATGTCGTTATGGTCTTTACGATTTTGAGTACATGCATCAGTGCCAAGGTACTTCAGAATCCTCCAAGAAACAAAAGCTGTTCCTTATGTCCTGGTGTCCGGATACCGCCAAAGTTAAAAAGAAGATGTTGTACTCTAGGTAACAAAAAAATTAAGCTTATTTTGATGAATGCATTCTAATTCATTGTTTTTGTAGCTCCTTTGATGCACTTAAAAAATCTTTAGTGGGTGTACAAAAGTATATCCAAGCCACAGATTTGTCTGAAGCCAGCCAGGAGGCTGTAGAAGAGAAACTACGCGCAACCGACCGCCAGTAGCCTGATAAAAAAATAACAAGCTGTGCTACTCCTCTCTTACTTCGAGCCACGCACGATACGTGGTGTACCTATATTTATAAGTATTTGAATATTTAATAAAGCTTGATTTTTGAACTGTACTCTTTGAGTTTCATTTGAGGTGGTACCAAATATTGTAGAAAATTCGTACATGATTTTGTTTACTTTTTAATAAAATGTCTACTTGTAAAATTTATTTGTTTATTTCTTTCCATCCTACATACAATTTTATTTACATCATGCTGTTTTGAGTTCTAAAGCTAGTTCACACCGAAAGGAACATTATGTTTATGTTGCTTATTCCTGGAACTTGTATCTCAAAGTTTCTAGATGTTCCTTATCGATTATGGTTGCAGAAAGAAATGTTCCTACAAGTTGCTTGTTTCCGTATTTAGCGATAAATATCATTAGGAAATTTAGAAACAATCGTAAACATTTTTGTTTTGGACGTGCTACTCATTGTCAGTGCTACTCATACGACAAAAGTTCTTTACATTTTCATTATCAATTCTGGATTCTGCTATTAAATCATCTTTCTTTAATTAACTCGATAAGGCGCATGATACCACGTGTATTTCTTTCTAAAAGAGTCGGCCTAGTCCAACATTTACGAACTTTCTTTTTCTGTTTTTGCAAAATAATAATAATTGCAGCCACTGCTGCCTGTAAATCATCATCGCACCACATTATATTCAAATGCTGAAACATATATTAATCTGATGCAGTCGGAATTTCTTGCTGCAGCAACACGGTGATCAGCGACTATAATGAGTTTTCTTGGTGTGGGCAGAATGTTTACAGGAAATGGTTATGATTTTGCGTCCTCAACAGGAATAAAATGTTTCCCTGTATTTCTTTGCTGTGGATCTTTAGGTTTGATTTAGCAACAGCAACGAATTGTAAACTTAATATGAGATGGCTTTCATTCAAAACATTTTACTGTGGTTATTGTTTCAGGAATTTATGAATAATATTACAAATTTAACAACTTCAAGTATTGATATTAAATCACTACCTTTAAATTATCTATATTTTGAAAAATTATTTGCAAAAACTTTTCCAATGTGTGCTTTCGCCAAATCCATCAATATTTTTTTGAATTGCTTAATGCGAGAGTAGTTTAAATCTAATGATCCAGATGATTATAAAAACTGTCGGCCTATTTCCATATTGCCGGCTATCTCAAAAATTTTCGAATCTTTATTAAAATGTAGATTGAATATATGGAAAATAATAAGTTATTTAATTCAGCCCATGTTGCCGCAGTCAAAAGGCTACCACGTCAGCTCTGACAAGCATGGATGTTATCGCACGAGCGTTTACGAGAAAGAAGAGATTCAATTATCATGCTGTGACTTGTCAAACGCATTCGATTGTGTTTAACATGAGACTCTATTAAGTAAACTGGAACATTACGGTATAATAGGGCTACCAAATTACATGATCCGTAGTTATCTAAGCAATAGATTACAGTGCGTGCAATGGAGGGTCGAACTTCAGAAGTTAGCAATATTACTTCTGGTATCCTACGAGGATCAATTTTGGGTCCAGTGCTTTTCATTATTTCTATAAATGACCTTCCTATAAATATGTCGGCTGAAGGCATAATAATAATAATGTTTATTTGTCGCAAAGAAATGTACGTACAATAGTCAACAATACAAGAAAATAATAATAGTATTCAAAAATAAATAATAATACACCAAAAAATGCAATTTAAGTATTCCTCTATTGAGTAGAAGGAGTATTGTAGTAACAATCGCTTCACTTTCCTTCTGAAGATACTTCTAATATAATTTTATGCACATATAATTAGTGCTTTGTTCTGCTCTTTTGATGCGGTGTTGTGGAACGACGATCCTGTTCTTCTCCCTAATGTCATGTTGGTGGATATCACTATGAGATGAATATCTCATTTTGTTCTTATGCAGAAGGGTAACTGCCGCCAGTATGCATACGCTAGGGACAGTTATTATTTGCATCGCTTTAATTATGCTTCTGCGGCTATCTCGCGGTCCTGCACACGCCAAAGCTCTAAGGGCTTCCTTTTGCTGGATTAAGAGCTTGGAAGTTTGAGGCGATGGTCCCCACACCTCAATGCCATATTGAAGTATGGAATTAAAGTGGCGGAAGTAGGCGGTTCAAGTAGCTTCATGGGTTGAGGTAATCCTTATTCTTCTGATGAAGTAAGTTGCTGTGGCTAACTTTTTTGTAACGTATTCTATATGTCAATTCCATTTCAGGTGGGAATTTATGTTAAAGCCAAGGAATTTAATCGTATGTCCCGTATCTGGCTCTCTATTGGTAAGTATGAGTGATTGCGTCTTTTTTCCTTTCTTCGGACCTTCCGAGAAGTTCCTGTCTGTCTCTAGATGTCACCAACAGCGAAGTATCATCAGCAAATCAGCCATTAAGTTTTGTGGTAAGTCATTGATATAGATCAGGAACAAAACCTGGCCAAGAACAGATCCCTGTGGCACTCCCTCAGTATCTATCTTCTTGCCGAGAATCTTCCTTTCCAGTAAACCATTTGTGTTCTATCCTGGAGATATGTCCTGAAGAGTGAAAGTGAAGTACCCCTTATACCGTAGTACTCGTCACTCATATACAGTGACGGACAAAAGTCTACATACAGCATTGAATTATGATGCTTTTGTAAAACATAATAAGATAATACAAAAAATATAATTTATTATTTAATTTATTCACAAAAAAAAACAAATCGCTTAATAGCTACATAATAAAAACTCAACAAATAATGCCAAAAATAACACGATAAAAATCTACATACAATGCACTTCAGTTAAAGAAATCAAGTAGGAGTTGCACAAAGTAGCTGGCATTGCATTTTCTTTTTCCTTAATTCAGTAGGGATTACGGATCTAGTCATTAGTATTTAGTTTGTATTTCGTCACTGTTCTAATAGGCTGCAAAATATCATGGCGAAAAGAAATTTCTGTTTTCTGTTGTCCTAGAGTTAGCGCACCAGAATTAGCTGATAACATCGTATTTACTGTATTTAATAAGTCTGTACATCGAAGAACCGTATAAAGAATTCTAAGCGATAATAGTCTTCGACTAAAATTGTTTACTGAAGAGTCGAAGTATAGCCTTTTTGGAAATGATGATCGGGCAAAAATGGGGGAAACATTGCGATGGAGTTGAAAAATTTGGTACCAACTGTAAAGCACGGTGGACGTAGTGTCATGGTTTGGGGAGCGACAACATCTTGTTTAGGAAAACTGGCATTCATTGATGGAATTATGGATGGATATACATATAAAAGTATTTTAGAACAAAATTTGATGTCATCAGTGGAAAGCTTTGATGCCCTCGAGGATCGTTGGATATTCCAGCAAGACATTGACCTTAAGCATACCGCAAACCTTATCAAACATTGGTTGCTGTATTATGCACCCAGGCAGTTGAATACACCTTCTTAGAGTCCACATTTAAATCGAATCGAGCATGTTTGGGAGCTTTTGGAACGTAGATCGGGCAACGCAAAATCGCAGATGCGAAAACAGTGAAATCTACGTTAGTCGAATCTTGGGCTAAAATTACAGCAGAAGAGTAGCAGAATTATTCATTACAAAAACAACAACTCAGATACAGAACTAGTCTCTGTGGTTAAAACAGCGGAAATTTAATCACTGCATAAAATACAACTCTCTTCAATTAGCAAATGGGCAAATTGAGATATTATACATATAGTTACACCCTTTGTTTTTTGTTCAGTTATGTCAAGGTATAACCCTTGGTAACCTTATGATCGCAAGCTAAGTAATCGTTTATTGCCAATAATGTAAATATTTGTCTCGCTTTCTAGGTTAACCTCACAACGGGGAATGAGGCTTGTTCTATGATCTAGTGATTCCAATAATATGCAAAGTCAGTTGATTTCGTTTATATGTATTTGAAGGGTCTTTCTGCTTCCCGATTTATGAACTGGGGCCAAACGTCTGCGGTCCTCCGAAAGATTCCCAGTAAACAAATTTGCGTTTCAGAAACATTTCTGATACATATTATTGAAACATGAAACGTTTCTTCGACATTTCATTCTTTCGTGCATTTCAAGCGTGTCTTACGAAACTTGTTTTTTAATATACTATTACATAGGTCTCTTTCTTTAAATAGTGTTCACTAGCCGTATTTTCATTAACTAAACCTAGTGGTGATATATAAAAAACTTATACAAAACTTGCGCCATTCCTCGGCTGTCCAGGTAAAAAAGGAAAAACGGGTTCTAATAGATTTTTTCACGTGGAATCCAATGGTGTACCTAGAATTTTTCTAGTCATCATGGTTTTTGAGTTATAAACACAACTCAAATACTGAATACTCAACTTCTAAAATACTTAACTCTTTATAACTCAAAAACCGTGATGACTAGAAAAATTCTACGTGCACCATTGGATTCTACGTAAAAAATCTATTAGAACCCATTTTTACGTTTTCGGATAGCCGAGATACAGAAGGTGTGTGAAAATCGTAAATTTTGAAACACTCCCTGTATATCAAAAACGAAGAGGGCTATGAAAAGTTGGTTTGCGCTATTATAAGTTACACAAAAAAGTAGCTCAGGTTTGCGAAAGCCGTAACTTTCTATCTTTCATAATAACTGAGATACCCTGCAAACCCATCGAAATTTGGACACCCTGTACATTAAAATTGAAATGTTTCACAGATGTTTCTTGTTTACTGGGTTTTGATGGGGCAGATAAATTTTTTCTCCAACTTCAGAATATTTTCGATTTTTATCCGGATGACGTTCTTATGATGGTTGGGGACTTCAACCAACCCAGAGTGTCGTGGTAATGAATATTTCGTCCATTCGAGTCAATTTTTGCATACCATCTCTTATTGTAATCTGTCACAACGTAATAATGTTCTTAACTTTAATGGCAGAATTTTAATTTTATGTAGTCAATTTATAGTGAGTATGATTTGTATTTGTTCTGACCCTCTAGTGATTCCTGAACACCAGCTTCCTGCTTTAGAGTTCAGTCTCCAACCCTTCTCAAATTTTTAGCTGATTGATGGTGGTCATCATGAATATTAAGCAATTAGTGCAGTGGATTAGAACAGTGTATTTAATAACCTTAACACTAACCAGGTTCTGGAAATATTCTATACACTTTTACACAGAATCCATCTTTACGTGCCGTGTAGAGTTAAAGAAACTCGCTTTCTGCAGTGTTATGGTCCATGTACTATTAATGAGAAGCTTAAATATCATAGAAAATTGAATAAACATGGTAACCAGGCCGACTACTTATGATTTTCATTATTGCGCAAAATCTCAAAGAATCTTATTGCGTCAGATTACAACAACAATCTGAACCAAATTCAAAGTAATGTTATTGACAATCCTAAACAGCTATCTATGTGTTAATAAAAATATCTACCAAGTTTTGATTAAATAAGACTAAGTTTAAACATTTCCTAAAAGATCAATTTGTTTGAAAGTACTTTATCTAACCCTATGATAAATTATGTAAAATAAACGATGCCATAACCACAATAACACAAAATAATAATTGTTTTTTCAATTTTATATATTTTGTAGCATTGCATTAATAAATATGTATGTATTAAACCAAATTGAACAGCATTTTCCAAAAATTAATTAATTACTCAAATTAAATTCAATTTCATTCATCTTTGGTATTTCTTTTTTACCAATCATTTGTATCATTTAAGTCGCTGAACATTTTATCTTTAATTTTCGGTCTTGGATCCTCTTTTATATCAGTTTCAATTGCACCTACTGTTCCTAACAAATACTCAAATTCTAAAAAAAGAAACAATATTATAAAAAACACATTTTCACAAACTAAATAGAATTAAGAACCTTCTAAATTTAAATTAGGACCCCTTAATTCTATAGGACCCACAATTTGCTTTTTCATTTGCCCTTCGAAATAAATAAATATTGTGGGTAAATTTTTGTCAGGATAATTTGGAATACAAGTTGTTGAAATGGATTTTAAGAATTTTACTGTTGGAAATCTGCTGGCTAAATTAGTCATATGTTGATTAATTAATGCACATAGAGGTATCCTAAAAATTAATTTTATCAACTCAATCACATTTTAAATAACTCTTCAAATATGTACCCTTGTTTATACAAATGCAAAATTACCCAAACGCCTTCCCCAGCTTTATTTACTTCACCAACATAATCTTGAGCAGATATTTCCCTAACCGACCCAAATTTTGATTTTTCAGCTAACGCCTTAATTTCTGCTATTCTTTTTTGTCTATACTGTAATATTATTGCCTCATCCTCAGAATCTTCCAACTCATCAAGTTCATCTAAATCCAACTTTGATAAATCTCTTTCTTTTGATTGTTTCTCTTCAATAGTTTGTTCCAACATAGTAACAATTTCATCTTCAGTAATTTCAGCCTCCTTTTTTGGTGGGATAATACCTTTTGACCGCAATACATCATTCCATTCGGTATCTTCATTTGGGTCCTAAAATATTAATTCACATTTTAATTCAATACATAAATACACATTTTGATATAACTACAAATAATATCTTACCTGCATTTTTAAATAATAGTTTTAATTAAAAAAATTAAAAATAACGGGATATTTTAAGATTCTAGAAATTAAGAAACTTCTTGAATTGAGGTTAGGAACAGAAGGAAAGAACTTATATGGGCAGGCTCAAGCTAAAATTGAAATTAAGGTCAGTGCGTATTTAAACGAACAACATTTCTACATAAAATTTCTTTTATTCTTATAACTAAAACAAATTAATTTTACATTTTTGTGACATCAGCATTTTTGTAAATTAATTTATATTGTTTTAATGTTTATAACAATTTATACATATTTTATTTATTAAAATTTAAAATAAATTTAAGCATTCGTTTCGTGTAAATAAGTACTGGCATTGAAATTAATACGGAGCATGCGCAAAGTATGCAACCCAAATAACACCGAAGAATTTGTTATCAAAAATTTTTAGGGAATTTTAGTGACAGTTGTCGTTTCTACCTGTCAAAATGACATTTGAGTAAAAATAGTGTTAAAAACGATGATTAGTAATAAATAACTCAATAACATATGTGAAAGAAAACAACATTCGCGGTCATGACAAAATAACGAAGTCTCTCTTTGTTTATTTATTCGTAATTTTTTAAATATCTTAATCTAAAATCAATCAGAAGATATTTATTAAGATAAAAACGTACCTATCGAAGAGGACTTGAAAATTCACAATGGACCAAGTTCGACAAATTCCAGTTTTTGTATTTCCCACAATGTTAAAGTTCTACACGAGCTCAAAACATACTCACAAACAACTCATCACCATCTATAATCCTTATGACTTTACAATTAAATATAAAGGTAGTTATAAACGATTAATAAAAATGTTTTTATTAATAATTAAATTTTTAATTAGTTCTATGTACAGCTCCAAATAAATATAATGTAACAGATCCTGAAGGAAGTATACGACCTCAATCTTGCATTGATTTGGTTGTTAGACATACGATGCCAATTTCTGCTAATTGTAATGGTGTAGATAAATTTAGAATAAGTATTCATGATAACACAACTAAACAGGTAATGTTTTAATCTTTATTGAAGTGTTTTTATTTTAAAATTAATAATTATGTGTTTAGCTATTAGGTAAAAGGGATGTGGAATCAAAACTATTGGTTGGTGAAGGTGATAATGTTTCTGAAGATGGTGATAACTTCCATAATCTACCTCATAGTGAGAGAACTCCTGAAGATCCACATCATCAATCATTGTTATCACAGAGACAGTAATTATTTTATTATTTTTATGACACAATGAATTTGGGTATAAATTAAGGAATTTTATGAGTACCATAAAAATCCTGATAAATAAGTGAAGGATATTATACCAGAGAATTCTATATATACAAAAGAAGTTGTTTATTAAATCAAAATCTTAATGAATTTGAGTGTTACAAGTAAAACTTGTAACTAATTGCATAAAATAACTATTTAATTCATGAAAATTAATTTTTATCTCCTAGCATTTTATAGATTAAGTATATTTGCTACTTTTATGATATTTCTAAATCAGTTTTCTGTTCCAACATTGGATTATCAAGGAGGATGTCATTTCATATGTTATCAACATGGTTTGATTATACTTTGTTTAGTGAGATGTATTCTATGCATATTAGGAAGTACTCTCAATTTTGATAAATTCTCAGTGTATTCTTCTGTATTGTTAGTTTTCATTCCTAGTATAGACTTGGAATTAGTATTTGATACAAATGAAAGAAAGAAAGAAATTTTAGACTAGAAGAAAAAGAAAGTACATTTAATATATTTAACATATACAGCCAAAGAACAAGCAGGATTTTGAGTGGGTCGATTAACTATAGACAACTTATTCTGCCTAACACAAATAATTGAGAAGAAAATCAGGTATGTGGTATACTGTACCACATAATAAACTCTGGATGCTATTGGAAAAGAGTATTATAGGAATAATATTAATAATAGTAGCAAAAACACCATACAAAAACTTAACAGTAAAAGTAAAAGTGGGAAATAAAATATCAATAGGGATCAAAATTACCTATTTCAAATTTATTTAGAATAAACACTTAGAAACTGAAAGCGCAAGTGTAAGACANTCGAGAATAGGCATCGCGTAAGGCTAAACCAGAATATATTCCTCAATGAATAAAATATTTCAACGGTAGGATGACTAATTGTAAGCTGATATAAAAAAGCGTCGCTATGAATAACTGAATTGAACTCTCGACGACCTCTTTTAACCAACAGCGGAACTATACAAATTTTTTTTGCACTTTTGCGAACATCACGTGATTGAACCGCGACCTTAAAAAGGTATTAAAAACAATTTTTTTAGAGAAATTATATTTTATATATTTACTTAAAAAAACAAATAATCATTCAAAGAGCCGCATGCGGCTCGCGAGCCACAGTTTGGCCACCGTTGCAATATACCATTAAATGACATCACCTTGCGTTTGCAAATATCCAAATACACTGTGTTAATTAATTATTGTACCCAACGTCTAACGGGTATTAACCCAATACTGTATTGGTAACCCAATACGCAAATCGCGTATTGCAATACCAATACTGTGATATTGGTTACATACTTGCAATGATGACGTCGGATACGATAATTAGTTAACACAGTGTAGTTACTGTGCAAGACTAGAAATTAAATAGAAAGCTGATAGAGGAAAATGATATGTGGGGGCTCGAGCTAAACCTCAAAACAACGGAGTACATTATGATGGGCCGTTTATCCCTTCTTAGTCTTCCCTGTACGCATTTTTCCGCAGTATTATGTATTACATAAATTTTTCGTCTACCCAATATCTTCGCAACCGCTCGATGAAAAAATTACGGTAAAGTTTGTTGTACTTACTGAACATTTCTACGTAACACGAATGACAAAATCCTAGAAAAAATATCAAAACTAAACAAGCAGTATAACCTCATATGGAAACGAAGGGTCGCAGGTTGATCAAAACAGGAAAAGATAAGAAATGTAAGAATTCAGAATCATGGATGCTAAACACATCACATAGATGCTATAAAAACGAAACAACTGTGATGGTTTTGCCGCTTCCACAAGGTGGATGAGAATCGATTTCCAAAATATGTCTTAAAGTGGATACGATATGGAGAGAGGTGGAGGAAGGATGGATCTGTGGAAGGACAGAGAGCAGTGAAAACTAACCGAAAACGAAATATGAATAGATATTTAACTAATTAAGATAAGTTAATTATTTTAACTAAGAAAAGAAGAGAACATAAAGAAGCTAACCCTAAAGAAAATTCGAATGGAGAGAAGGTGCACTTTTTCCAGAGCTTAAGAGCGAAGTCTTTACCAGAACAAATTTAGCAATTTCAAATAGAAGTACCTACACAGAATATAAATTTAAAAATTGGTTAATACACTGACCGGCAAAAAAAACCGGCCACTAAAATGTAGCCACAATTTCAAAGCTGGCTTACTCGCGAACCACTCATTCGATTTTGATGATTCTTTTTTTGATCGAAAGGTTGATTCTTCTGTAATAATCCGGCGATAGAAATTTTTATTCGGATATTAATTTGAGCATATACGGGGTGCAAGAATGAGAAAACCTTTTTTTCTCGAAATTTGTAATACCCTGTGGGGTGCAGCTGCCACAGCAGAGGGTGTTAACTGGAATCAAATGGTAGCCCAATCTTTTCTGAGCATTTTGTTTTTTATTCACTCTATTATCTCTGTTACTAACGAAGATGCAGTATATTAAAGCGATCGCCTGTGAAAACAAGACGAGTGACAATAGCAGCTGATGACCGTTTTATTGTTCTAAGCAATCGTAAAACGACAGCTGTAGAAGCTCGGTGTCGTCTTCAAAGTGGTGTTGTTGATGTCAGTGAGCAATTGCGACAAACTCTTCTTCAAAAGTAATTTCTAACCCTTGAAGGTTGTCCGGCAGGACAGGACGACGACGAATGCGTCTCTCAAGTTGGTCCTAAAGATATTCGCTACGGTTAAGGACCGGGCTGCACGCTAGCCACTCTATCCGTTTAATACCCTACTTCATCAAGATATTCGTTAACCACACGTGCTACGTGCGATCGCGCATCGTCATGCATTAGCATGAATTCGTCACCAATAAAATGGGAATAGAACCTCCATGGAAAGGTACTCTTTCCGAAATTGTGCAGGTCGCAAACCTTTCATTACGACGTCTCCACACTCATTCTCGACCATCAGGTGAGCGGAGACAAAATCGGGACTCGTCAGTAAAGAGCACCTTACCCCATTGTTCGATTCCCTAATTCATATGTACGCGCCCAAATTGAAGACGTGGTCGCCGATGTCTCTAGAGCAGCCGAGGTCTTTTGGCAGGTCTTCTTGCAGTCATATCACTTTTATCAAGTCTTCGATGAATAGTTCTTTCACTTACGTCAACCCCACGCACCATTTGAAGACGATGCCGAGTTTCTACAGCTGTCGTTCTAAAATTCCTCAGAGCGTTTAGAACAATAAATCGGTCATCAACTGCTGTTGTCACTCGTCTTCTACCGAAACCTTGCCGCCTAGTGAAATTTCCTGTTTCCACATATTGGTTCCAGGCATCCTGAACTGTTGTTCGGGGTATACCCAACGTATGGGCAACGTATTGCTGACNAAAAGTAAAAGTGGGAAATAAAACATCAATAGGGATCAAAATTACCTATTTCAAATTTATCTAGAATAAACACTTAGAAACTGAAAGCGCAAGTGTAAGACAATATACCATTAAATGACGTCACCTTGTGTTTGCAAATATCCAAATACACTGTGTTAATTAATTATCGTACCCAACGTCATCATTGCAAGTATGCAACCCAATACGCAAATTGCGTATTGCAATATCAATACTGTGATATTGGTTGCATACTTGCATTGATGACATCGGATACGATAATTAGTTAACACAGTGTAGTACTATGCAAGACTAGAAAGCTGATAGAGGAAAATGATATGTGGGGGAGATAAACCTAAAAAAACGGATTACATTATGATGGGCCGTTTATCCCTTCTTAATCTTCCCTGTGCCCATTTTTTCCGCAGTATTATGACATCAAAAGAATTCTTTAATTTTTCGTCTACCCTACTATCCGTGCCAAAAGTCAAAACCCCTCGTTTTAGAGATCGATATTTTCGCAACCGCTCGATGAAAAAATTGCAATAAAGTTTGTTGTAATTACTGAACATTTCTACTTAACACGAATGGCGAAATTCTAGAAAAAATATCAAAACTAAACAAGCAGTATCTCATATGGAAGCGAAGGGCCGCAGGTTGATCAAAATAGGAAAAGATAAAAAATGTAAGAATCCAGAATCATAGATGGTAAACACATCATCATAGATGGTTTGGTCGCGTCCACAAGGTGGATGAGAATCGATTTCCAAAATATGTCTTAAAGTGGATACGTCATGAAGAGAGCTGGAGGAAGATCTGTGGAAGGACAGAGAGCAGTGAAAACTAACCGAAAACGAAATATGAATAGATATTTAACTAATTGTATATTTGCCAATGGTAAAAACAATAACAATATAATAATTACTATTGGAAAAGAAGAGAACATAAAGAAGCTAACCCTAAAGAAAATTTGAATGGAGAGGTGCACTTTTTTCAGATATTAAGAGCAAAGTCTTTACCAAAAAAAATGTAGCAGAATATAAATTTAAAAATTAGGTAATATAAAAGATAACAAAGAGCAATACAAAAATGCACCAAGAAGAACCGTTGATGACTAAAGCACAAAACAAGGCATACAAGCAACTGAATATGAAGAACACATAAACAGAGATCTAACTAACGCTAGATGTAGAATCTTTCAGGTGAAGCCATGCATCTGTTGAAAAAGTGTTTGAGGTTTCAGATACCATGGTAAAACCCTCAAGTAAAAATATTTATTGACTTCATTATTGCACGAACGAAGAGAAAAGGATAGTTTGATAGGATTGCAACACGCTATTTCAAAAATTAAGTGATACATAATAGGTATATCGGATACAAGAAGACACTATGGGAGTATTATGAAAACAAAGATAGACATAGTATTTTATCATGGACCAGTGGTGAATGGTCAATATGCCGTAGGTTTAAAAATAGAAGGAGTAAATGAAAGAATAGCAATCCTAGTTGTAATGCACCTGCTGGTAGGTTAATGGCGCATTTGAGCCAGGAACATGAAACGAAAAACTGTTCATATAAGTGGTCCATTCAAATAATAACTTCCACATTCTTACAGCGATCAAAAAGCAGGAAGTGGACCTGGAAATGTCTAACAGGCCANCCAGTTAACACTATCTGCTGTAGCAGTTGCACCCCACAGGGTATTACAAATTTCGAGAAAAAAAAGTTTTTCTCATTCTTGCAGCCCGTATATGCTCAAATTAAAATCTAAATGAAAATTTCTATAGCAGGATTATTACCGAAGAATCAACCTTTCGATCAAAAAAACAATCATCAAAATCGAATGAGTGGTTCGCGAGTAAGCCAGCTTTGAAATTGTGGCTAATTTATAGTGGCCGGTTTTTTTGCCGGTCAGTTTATAAAAGATAACAAAGAGCAATAAAAAAATGCACCAAGAAAAACCGTTGATGACTAAAGCACAAAAGAAGGCATACAATCAACTGAATATGAAGAACACATATTCATGTGTTTGAGGTTTCAGATACCATGTTGCAACCCCAAGTCATTCGAACTTATTTCTGAAGTGACTGATTTCTAGTGATATTGCTAGTGTTAGTTCACGAGAATAAATTACCCACTACAGCTGGCCACTGCAGGGTAATATGACTGACTGAGTACCCTCAAGTTAAAATATTTATTGATTCCATTATTGCACGAACGAAGAGAAAAGGATAGTACGATAGAATTGCAACACGCTATTTCAAAAATTAAGTGATACATAATAGGTATATCAGACACAAGAAGACACTATGGGAGTATTATGGAACCAAAGATAGACATAGTATTTTATCATGGACCAGTGGTGAATGGTCAATATGCCGTAGGTTTAAAAATAGAAGGAGTAAATGAAAGAATAGCAATCCTAGTTGTAATGCACCTGCTGGTAGGTTAATGGCGCATTTGAGCCAGGAACATGAAACGAAAAACTGTTCATATAAGTGGTCCATTCAAATAATAACTTCCACATTCTTACAGCGATCAAAAAGCAGGAAGTGGACCTGGAAATATCTAACAGGCCACAAAAACATAATAACATAATAAATGAAGGCTAGATGCGCATTAGGCGGATTTTTGTAGCCGCCGCGACTTGGCCAAATTATAAAGTTTTTCAAATTATAAAAGATAGCTTTGATTTCGATGGCTTGGTCACCAAATGCGTATCCAGCCTAAGTATAAAATGTGGAGGTTATACGCAGATTCTAAATCAGTAGCGACCACAAATACGCACTTGGTATAACAATCAACGGTCAGAAACTAAATAAAAAGTGTTGTACCATCCCAAAAATTACAGCGTAGAACTTGCAAAATAATCGATACAAATTAATAAAGAAATTAGTAACAGACTAAAAACAATGGACAATTTACAAGGCCAAGAACTCTATAAAGATATAGAAAGACCGATTACAACCATAATAGAAAGAAGAAAAAGGAATTAAAAAAGTTAGAAACCAAAGAATTTCAAAGTTAGCTATCAAACATTACAACTCATCCAAAAGAGGACAAAACTCGAAAGAATTAAGAACAAGTCAGACGAAATTATGGGAAGTGAGAAAATTGATCAGAAAGAGAATAAGAGAACTTATGACAAGGCTGATACTATACCCCATTAATATGGCCTATGGTGTTGAGATGGAAGTTGAAAGAGCCATTATTGGAAACTCTGACGACAAAAGCGCACGAGGTGATGGAATCAAATGAATTTTTAAAAATTGGATTACGTGATTAGAATCTATAGCAGATAGCTAAGTAGCTTGCGATTTGCAAATATTGTCGTACTTCCAAATAGTGCGAACCAGTTACAGGATCAGCTAAACCAGCTTTGTAAGTCTGGAAGAAGAAACTGGGTTAAACATAAACCTGCAAGACTAAAATATCAGAAACGGAAGAAATTCCAATATACAGTGAACCCTCATACAATTTATTGTCCGATTTTGACATCTATTGACACTTATTCTAATTTTTGTTACTCTGACAAATTTATTTTGCTGTACGAGGTACAATCTCATTAATATTATTATTTAATGATTTTCTTTCCATTTTATATTCAATTTAAAAAACAGCGATTTTTCACTTCAAATGGATTTTATTTTAGTTATTTTTCTCTACCGATTTCGCTAAATTACTCGTAGCATCATTAGGACATTACGTCAAATATCACAAAAGATTCTTAAAATAGACGATGTTGAGCATTTTTCTTAATTTGTTTCTATTTTTAAACTGACACTAAAAATCCTAAGAGAATCGGGAATGAGGATGAGATTCTCGATTCAAACAAAAAAAACGTTTGAAGTGCAAAATCGCTGTGTTTTTTTAAACTTATTAATATTGTTTTAAATTTCTTTTTTGTAATTCGCGACGGTAATGAAAGCCATTATAGTACTCAAACAGGTGCTGTAATGAGACTCCTTACAGCATCCGATGCTATAATGAGATTTTAGTAACATTTTATGGAACCAGTTCAAGTTGGTGACATTGGGTCATTAATTTTTCTAGTTGTCAATGTGACAATTTTTGTCTATGGATGTTTAAACACGTTCTTAGCATCGAATACAAGGTCCGCAATGATGAAGACATTGAACTCTGAGCAATTTCACTTATTTTAGGGGTGTACATGAAACATTTTTTCCAGGTGAATTCATTGTGTTTTGACAATTTCTAATTCTCAATTCAAATTTCAAGTGTTACGGTGTTACCAACTGCTACATACCTATTTCCCTACATTGTCAAAACTTATTTTAGTTAAAAAAAGGGATACAAACGCGAATTACAAAAAATAGCATACAAAACCAGTTTCGTAAGACTTAAAGCACTCATTCATTAAAAACCGTTCGTGCATTTCAAGCGTGTCTTACGAAACTAGTTTTTTAATATACTATTTCATAGTAACAAGTAAACACTTCCAAGCATTTCGTGCTTTTAAAAATCGTGAAGTTTTGCAGTTTATCGAGCGTGTAATTCCAAATTTCTAATTTCTTTCTGGTACATCCACTTTTCGGTTTTCATACATTTCTGTGAAAATTCCATGGAAGTTTAAGAATTTCTATTGACTATCCTGAAATTTATCCCAAAACTAAAATAGAATCTAGTGCAGTTAATGGAAATGTTTTAACTTATAACATGATAGCTGCAAAATTTTTTTTTAAATCCATATTATTAAAATTTTGTGAAATCAATAATCTATTTTTGTTTATTTCAGAAAATCTTTGCAATCAGAAAAAACTAATTACTTGGCAATAGGAGCAGCTATAGTATGTATAGCAATTCTAATGCTTCCAACAAAAATAGAAGTGGTTGAAGAAAATGCAAACATACCTCATTATTTACACCCAACGCAAACGTTTAAAATTGGAACAGCATACGCATTGGGAATGTTAACTTTATTAATTTTTAGACAGTAACTAATTTTTTAATCTAAAGGGAAAGAGTTGTTCTGTTTTGTTATATTTATTTAAATAAAGTTTTCTACCTGTTTTCCGTTTTTTTATTTTCTTTTAAATCATTTATTCACAGTAATTTTTTACCATGTACATTTTTGTAAATTTTATTTGCTATGTCATTGATCAAAGGGTAGCAAGAGTCGAGAGATTGACAATAGTTGACATAAATCTTCCTAAGCTTACGTAAATAAATAACTTAAGAAGTTTATACATAGAAAAAAGGAAATAATAAAATCTGTATAAAAAAGTCAACCCGCTTATACATTAAATTAAAAAAAAAAAATGAAAAAATGCCTTAACAATCAATGTTTTCATTTTAAATAGTAACAAATGAAAAAGTTCGATAAAACAGTCACTATATTAATTTTACCAATACATGTTTGCTGCTTCAAATTTCTTCGTTAACAAACTATTTACAAACAAAATCCACGTATTTAAACTCTGTGTGTATATCTGTCTTTGTGTATTTTTATTACGACGTAAACAACTTCGAAAATGTAGTGGTGGTGATGATGATGATGACGAAAACCAGCGTTCAATCTCCGTAAAATCTGCCCATGACTCCGTATATATTTTTTAATTACATTTTGCGTATTTTTTTAAACTATACAATACAAACGAACATTATCCAATTATAATTCCAACGCCGAGCCTAAACTGGTTTTTAGTATGATTCATTAAACCGCTTAGCGCTAACGTGAATGGCAGAGGATTTAGTTTCTTTTCTAGGACCGCTCCAACTGACCAGTTTGAATCCACATGACCTTAAAAAAATTAATTATTTAGTGGCTACTAAAGTTTACAAAAAACAGATATCGACTTTTGCGTTTAAAGTTCTATTTAGCAATAAATACGGAAATATTTATATAAAGTAAATAGGATCTTCAAAAGATACGAACTAAAGTTCAAACTCTTGTGTTATATGAATATTAGCTCGCGGAACCATCAGCTTCCCCTCTTAATGCAAAAAATGACATCCGTCGTAAAAATTGTTTACCCTTTACAAATTAATTGAAGTGATGGACAGCATTGACTTAAATATAAATAGTAGTTAGGTTCAAATCAGGCAGGGGTTAGAGCTGGTCGAAAAGTGTTATTGCTTTCTTTCCAATTAACCACACTTTGCAAACTAGGAACGTCTAGGATGTAGCCCCAGTTTTAGGATGATGTACATCTAAAACTACCTTTTTAATATTTTGCACTAGTAAAGTTCTAGCACTCGACTGTAAGAACTTCTGAAACTGGAAAAGGAAAGAAGATAGTTATTACATCAGCAGAAGGATTTGCACACGGATTTTATGTTGTCTGGAATTTATCATCAGAAACTTTTAAGAAACCTATATAAGTAAGACTTTTAAATAGTTTATTCACAACTTTAATGGTAAATTATCAAATGTTCTAATTACGTCATGTTTTTGAAAGCCCAATTATTATGCGCATGTTTCAACTACATGGACATCGTTGTAGAGTCAATAAAACCACGAAGAATAATTTTTGACTAAATAGTAATCGAATTGACTTCAGGATTCTGGAAATCAAACTGTTCGATAAACCTATTTGACGCATCAAAGTACAAGCAGTTTCTGGTTGAAGTGTTAATCCAAACCCGGTACTTTCAGTATGACAGCCTTGCGCAATGTCTCCACTTGCAGATGGAATTAGTGACAATTAAAAGTAAGGTATTTACAACAATTTATTAGTAGAAGCGACCCTGCCCACGCGAGCCCTTGGTCATCCCTCGACTCGCGAACGGCGGGAAGCTATCCGGAAGATTTCTGAAACTTACTGGAAGTTCCCAAATCAATAACCGGACACATGCTAAAGTGACAATCCAACAACAGAATAATTACAATGAAAATTGAAGCAAAACCTTTTAACCGTAATATTATACAAGTATATGCCCCTATATGCGATGCAACGAGACTTTTGCAGAGAAAATAAACTAGTTGTGGCGAACACACTATTCCAACGCCATTCACGTCGACTATATTCTTGGAAATCACGGGGAGGCAGATTCAAGAAAAGGCCAAAATAGTAGACAGAGTACTGAATGAACTATACACTGAAGGACTGTACCAAAAACTACGGACTTCGAATTTGAATCGAACGCACTAAGAATAGAGGTAGATTATGCGATTAGTCATTTAAAATCGAATAAAGCACCAGACCATGACGATATCACCGCGGATATGCTTCGCGAGAGACGACGGAGTGGACTTTATGATAGACATAAGTCTAAAGGGCATAAGTAATAAAGTGGGCTATAAATCAAGCTGGTCTAAAGATTGGACGCAATCGATATTTATACCAATACACAAAAATTAACGAACCATCACACAACATTGATTACAAAAAGGCGTTCGACTGTGTAAGATTTAGCTGCGTCTGGAAAATATGCTTGGAAATGGAAGTTCCAAGTTATTTGAAAAACTTGATTGAAGACCTGTACAAAGCGAATGACGTTATAATTCGATTAGAAAACGCTACATCTTGGACTTTTAAGGACCAAGACGGCGTAAAACAAGGATGTATACTGTCCTCCAGACTGCTCAACACATATGGCGAATACATAATACGACATGCCCTTGAGCAATACGACGAAGAGGTGCTAATCGGCGAGAAAAAGCTAAATAACCTCCGCTACGCTGACGATACGAGTATACTTAGCCAAGAGTGATATTGAATTAGTTCAGCACCTCCCACCACAAATCCAAACTGTCTCTGAGATTGTTTATCTCGGATCTTTAATCTCCAGTAAGGGTTCTTGCGAGGCAGAAATAAAGCAACGCATAGTGCTCGTTCGCAGTGCTGCTCATAAATTCACGAAAATATGGTTATACAAACAAATAACAAGGAAAATGAAGATTTTTTCGTAAAGTTTTCGCGATATTTCTATACGCAACAAAGTGATAACCCATCAGAACTGGAGACGGATGTTGCGCATTTCCTGGATATGAAGAACAAATGTGACAATTCTCAACAAGTTTCGGATCCATGTCCGATTGTTAACTATATGCCGACGCAGAATTATCCGGTATTTTGGACATGCAGTACGACGAGACAAAAGATTGGAAAAATTAGTGGCCAAATTAAATTATTACGATTTAATTTGGAATTATGGACATTTGAATTATTATTGGACCAATCTATGTTGGTCCAATTGTTAATAATAACGAAGGTACAGACGGTTAAAGTTAATACTTTATTTTCGTTTTTCTTCAATAATTCATTTTTTCTTAAATTATGAACATGAAAATTGGTATTATAATTTATTAAGACTATCTTTCAGAAATAGTTTCTCAGACATTTTTACATAAATGTGGTATACCTACCAAATCTCTCTAAAATTTAAACAACCACTGCCATGCTTGGCATTTTGCACCATTCATTAAACATAAGTTGACGTTACAAAAACAATTCATATTATTAACATAACTGCAATAATAAAAATCGATTTTAATTACAACATTTAATTTAAATACATATTTTAATAATAGTAACTTCAAACAAAAAGAGGAAACATTAATAAAAATGAACTGCATTATAGCAAGTGCTCAAAGTGACCACCGTTAATTTCAATTCATTTTCTAATCCATCTAGAAAATGATCTTACGTTAAATAATATTCGTTCATTCCTAATAACGTCAATTGCACTGCATTTACAATTTTCTGTCATAACTTGTCATAAGTCTTCACAAATTTCAGGATTGTCAGTTAGCATATAATCTAATTGGTTTTGCAAAAAATGGAAATAACTGTGGCCGTTCAAATTATTTGGTAACTCATATGATATAATTTCCAATTATTCCACAATAAAGATTTATTTTAAATTCATATTGAAAATGCCGTTTCCGTATCAAGTGTTAGTTTTCGCTTTCCCAAGCATGATAATTTCTAAAATTGAAAATCCCACTAGAAGTGTATGTTGGGTTGTCAGTAAATAAAATTATGTCAATAAATGATGAATCAGAATTTTACCGATTTTCGATAAAATGAGCTAATTCTAACCGAATCAGTAAAATTAAAATATGTTAAATTAGTAGGCAGTAAGGCATCTACAGGGTGGGCAAATTTGGGTGTTATTATAGGCTATCTCAGAAACGATAAGAGATACGAAAAAAGTAGGTGCCATGTCCCGGTCTCTTTTTTCGAGACTAACCCAATCCCGCAAACACCAAACCTCTATCTTCTTTTGTTTTTAAGTTATAGCCAAAAACTCAAATTTTCCTGATTTCAAAAAATGCTCATATTTCGTTTATTTTTGAAATTAGAGAAATGGGGTTGATACATTCTTAAGACACCTTTTTAAGTACAATATACTGCCGTTGAAAAATTTTAAAAATATTTGATGATTTTTGAAATACAACACAGCCCAACGAATAGAACCTTGATCACCTAACCAACAATCACCAAAAGATGCGGTGGTTAAAAATTGATGCAGCATTGTGAGGCACCATCATGTTGAAAAATTACATTTCGCATGTGGGCTAGAGGTAAATCGTCAACAACAGGTTCGATTTGTTGCCTAAATATGTTCAAATATTTTATTTGTGTTGTACACCAGCACTACTCAGATACGCTTCATCTGTCAAAATACAATTTAAAGAAAAATTACGTGCTTCGTCACATTTTCCCGAGAACCATTGGCAAAAATTTATGCGCCGTTCAAAATCTCCTGGTCTGAGGTAATGGACTTTGCTAGTTCTGTATGGCTTAAATCAGAATTTTTTCAAAATCCGTCTGGCTTTGGTTCTTGGAATTCCCATGGTTACACTCAATTGCCGCGTTGATATCTGTGAACTATTTTCCATTGCCCCTAAAACTGCAACTTCTTCTAATTCGCCGTCTTAAAAATATCATTAAAAGCTTGCCGCCTCTCTGGATATCATTCAAGATATAAATTTCCTGCAAAGTCTGCATTCTCCTCAGATTGTATAAAACAAACTATCGTGTCCCATTTTCCATAAGACATTATTTTGAAAGTTGATGACAACTAAGTAATACTCTAACAATAAGCACTAACACTTACAACTTCAATCAAAATTTGACAGATAGATACTCATAAACAATGCATTTGTTTTGTCGAAGCGCCGTCAAAGACCACTAGCCTACTAGTACGCAATTGAAAATCTTAAAAGTTTCCAAGTTGTATATTTCAAAGAAGACTTGAACGAGATATGAAGTGTGCTATATTTTTGGAAAGGAAATTTTATGCTCTCGTCGAATTTGCAAAAATATATAGGGTGTTCCATTTAAAAAAATCATTTTTATCTCAATAACTTCTAAATTTTTGCTTTGAGGGAAAGCTAACTTATTCAGCAACGGAAATCTTTGGACAACCTATATCTCGTTTAGGACGAAATGAATTAGTCTCACCTAAGCAATCATACAAAATTTTTAAATAACTTATGATTTGAACTTTTAAATAACTTTTAATAAAAATCTTCTGCACACTGTCCTTCCATTAAAGCTTTCTTGAGCATATATACGTGTTAGAATAAAAATTGTGCAGCGACATTATTTCATAGTAACAATAACAAACAATATTTGATTACAATAATATTGAGCTAAAAGTGAAAATGATTGTCTAGTGACTAAATAAAAACGTTTTCAACGTCAACTAATGTTCACTGAGCATAGTTAAATTTTGCAAAGTGCCCTTAAACAGTAATTATCTTGGAAACAGAAAACAGAGAAGATTGGTAGGTATACCAAATTTTTATTTATGTAAAAATGTCTCAGAAATGTTTCAGTTTGTGGTTGTAAAAATTCTAACAATAAAAAAGATATGATTACTTTAAGAGTTTTTTTAAGGCCATATGAAAGATAGATCAAAATTATTACTTATGGTCTTAAATTATGATAATGTACCAATTTTCATGTTTATAATTCAACAAAAACGAAAATAAAGTATTAACTTTAACTTAATCTTCGTTATTATTAACAATTGGACTAAGATCAATTGGGATAAATTGTAATAACATAAGGAAATCTGTTGCTCTGTGTCCCATTACTAACAGACCAGACTGTAAATTTTCAACACAACTTTCAAATTTGGCCTAAGGCTAAGGTATTTTCCGCAATTATAAAAAAATATGTTAACTTTAATTTGGTCCTTACTATGCTGTGCCAAACGTCATGGAAAATTGTGAGACACACTTCTGGCACTTCTCTTAATAGTAGCGCAGATTTCTATAAATCAAAAAGGTTCCCATATTGAATGTGGAACAATAATGGAGAGAATGCTTATCAATATAAACTTGTAAATAATAATAACTATGAAAAAAACTTAACACCTTCCCTCCTATTATTTTTCACACCTTTAAGCACAAAAATAGTGTTTTAATACCAAAAATTTAAAAAAATAAAAGATTTCTTTTCATATAGATAAAATACCTTTAAAAACAACATCACTCTTTGGTAAATCTACTTGATAGCCTATCATTGTAACTGCTTCTTGCATTCTATGATTCGCCTCCAATTCTACACCAAGCTGCAATTGTTTGCTCGCCTTTTGATAATAACACAAATGCACTCCTGATACTCCCAATGTCCCTGACCATTGATATGTGTCAGTTGTATATCTGAAATTATTAAAAATTAATTAAAATCAGATACAATCTCAAATAAAATAATCTTTTTCAATCACATAATGTATTCCAACAAACAATTAAACTTTTTTAAAAAAATTGATTTTGGTTTTTCAAATTTTGGTGTTGAACAACATACAAAAACACAAAACACTTGATTAAAAAGTTTATAAACTTTTGTAATCTCCAGCATTAGAGTCATTATTAGTGTCTTATCTATACTGACCCTATGTGATCAAAGTCATGTCAACTGATATAATTATATCAAAAAATTAATAACACCAACATTTTTATACATACTTAGCTGCAGCACTTAATAGAGCAATTTCTCCTCCGGGAATAGCTTGACCCCTTTGATACGCCAATTCTGAACCTAAAGCTAGCCTGGGTGTAACTGCCTGTAGATAATGTAAAACAACCACACCAGATCCTCCGATTATATCAGGATTTGCTACTGTCACGCTGGCAGTGTAATCATGTCCTTTGTAATTTGCTGTTAATTGTGCGACAGTAAACTTAGAATTTTGTATCTAAAATAAAAAATAATAAAATAAATTATTATTAAATTGTATATAATAATATACCTGTGCTCCAAATTTTGTTTGAATACTGGGTTTGAATTGATGAATAATAGTAGCATTTAAATTCCCTGAAGGATCAATATCTCCTAAAAGTATAGGATAAGCTTCGTTAGGGGAAATTTGTTTAGTTCCAACGTAAGTGGCTCCAAAACGATAACCACTGGGAGTAACAGTACTCATATTGATGGTATGAGATATTTGAAAATGATTGCTGAGTCCTCGTGTAAGCATGACTCTCGCACCGTCAAAACAAGTTGGGAACACATCTAAAACGAAGAGAAATTTGAAAAAGTTTGAGGTTAGGTCGCGTTATGCCATGCGGAATCTGTCGGAAATTCGACTTTTCTTGTGTACATACTTTTGCACTTGGTGTGAATATCTTCCAAGGGGCCGGGGTTCTCGATTTCCTCGCACCCTGAACCGCCTGTGGAGCCCGCGGAACCCATGCCGGGCGGCGGAGGTGGTGGCGGTGTGCTCGAGTACGCGTAAACGTTTCCCATCGTGCGTGTAACGCTAAATTTTTTTTACCTCTTTACTAGCGAAAATGTGAGACTTTGACGTTATGTGTCTGATGGTCGGGCACACATGTAGTACGAAATGTGCAGTTTATCACAATGATGTTCATTAGATGAAGTACAAACGGTTCGACATATTGACGAAGCTGAAGAATGACGGATTTTTTCTAATGGCTGCTGTCTACAATATCGGCCATCCGTGATTATAGGTTGGGTTTCATAGATGACGCGATATTTTTCATATTTTGTTTTATTCAAAAATCAAAATTTATTTTAAACAAACATTTTAATATTAGAATTTTTTTGCTATATTAAAGTACAAATATGGAACATAGAAAAGAATATAACTTTTTTAAAACCGTTGCATCAATATATCTGAAAAAGCATGCTAAATGACCTACACTCAACGTATTAATTACACAAAAAGCTTCAAAAAATTGCTGAGTTACATTCTTTTAACTAGCACCCAAGTATTACAGAAATGGCTATTTCGCCGTGATGCAAATTATTTTTATCATGTATCCAATTATATCAATCAAAATTTGTTTAATCACGTATGACACTATATGCAAAATTGTCAGTAGTGCATTGATATAGTCTATTTTATGTTTGAACATGTATGTAGTTTCATGTAGGGATAAATCCTTCACAACAGTTAGGCCCCAGCGGGCCTTATGTATCAATTTTTTTTGTTCTTTCTGAAACTATTGTATGTATTTAAAACTTAACTGTTGTTATGGTAATAGCCATACCATGATGGAAGACATTGTTTCCAATTATTGCCAAAGTTTGTAGCAGTATTTAAAAATTCACTAACAACTCTGGCATTATGTGCTGGTGCTCCGTCATATTGAAAATATATCATTTGAGATATATTTAATGGCAAATTGTCGACCAAAGGCTCAATGTGCTGCCTTAATACATTGAGGTAGTTACCTCAGTTTAAGTTTTTATGGAAGATACTATATGCCAAAATTCTATTATCTAAAAGGGCACACCATACATTGAACCCTAATCTTCTTTGAACACTCAGAGACTTCATCCGTCCAGATCACATTTTGAACAAACAGCAGATTATTTAATTTTTCTAAATATCATCTACAAAATTTTAATCTTATTGTTAGATTGACATCTCCGGCACGTAATAATACAAGTTAGCCCCGCTTTGTATGGTTTATTTTTCTTTCACATTCGGGAGCAGCGGCTTTTGGGTCAGACGTCTTGTTCAATTTATCTGCAAGATGTTGATGGATTTATCGCAAGTGAAGCCAACACATTGACTTCATCCTCTTGCAGGTCATTTTGGTATGTTTTGCACGTGGTTTGGGGAAAGACCAAAAATCTATTAAATTTTCTGCTAACCGGCTGAAGGTTCTTATGTGCGGTTGTCTTCTTTCCGGATACCTTGTGAAATATAATTCCGCGGCTAACGTCGCATTCTTATCTGATAACATATAGCATTCCATCATGTTACAGTTTTCATAATTTTCGAAATTCATTGTAAAGTTTTATTCAGTTTTGTTATACTTTGACACTTAACATGCTGATGTACCAGCACATGGCATTATGTTGCTATCGAATTTTTAAATACAAACTTAAGCAATTATTTGATACATTATGTGCCATCATAGTATGTATGGTTATCACCATAGCAACATAACTTTTAAATACATACATTTGTTAATTATTCAATAACTATAAGAAATATACCCCACAAACTATATATATTTGTTATCAGAACAAAATAACAAATTATTTTAGGTCATAGTCAACTATGGTTTCCATTTAAAAAAATAAAGTTACGTCTAAAATCTCGAAAATAAAAGATGGGAAAAAAATTCTACTTACGCTACTGAATTCTTCGTAAAAACTTGCCCATGTAATGTTTTATTTATTATACTCCATCTTTGATAACATGTGAGATATTCGCGAATGTCGTTTTCGCAAAATTTGCCGATAGGGCGAAAACAAAAGACGATAGCTGTTCGAAGTTTTCGGCATTAGCAGTTTCTCGAAAAACGAGATCATGACATGTAAGCTACCTTTTTTCTATCTCTTTTAGTTTCGGAGATAGCCTATGGGGACATCGAAATTGGGACACCTGTACATCCCCACAATTTACAGTTCATTCATGGACTAATAAAGATAAAGAAATCAGTAGGCTATGACCTAATTAATGAAGAAACATTGAAACATCTACCAAAACGGGGGATTACAAAGCTATTACACATAATTAATGCTGCTTTTAAACAGAAATACTTCCCAAGTATATGGAAAGTTGCTGAAATAATAATGATGCCAAAACCTGGTAAGCTCCCCACAGATGTTTCATTATAGAGGCCAATCTCATTATTACCCTTACTATCAAAACTACTTGAAAAATTACTTTTAAAAAGACTAAAACCTGTCATAGAAGAAAAAGCCCTAATACGAACACATCAATTTGGATTTCGGAATAAACATGCAACAATAGACCAAGTGTACAGAATAACTAATACTATCGAAATAGCAAGAAAATGAAGCCTGCTCCGCCGTATTTTTGGATGTTGCACAAGCTTTAGACAAAGTTTGGTTAGATGGTTTAAATTACAAACTAGACCAAATACTACCATCAACGTATAGTCAACTACTAAAATCGTATCTTTCTGATCGATATTTTAGAGCAAAATATGAAAACGTTTATTCAGCACTAAATGAAATACAAGCCGGCGTTCCTCAAGAAAGTGTGCTTGGCCCAACACTGTGCTTACTCTACACATTCGACCTTCCTCAGATTCCAGAAACTTTAACAGCTGCATTTGCAGATGACACAGTGATCTTGGCTGTTGCAGAAAATGATATAGTTGCAGCAAATAAGTTAGAATTGGCCTTAAATTCAATAGAACACTGGACCAAACGATGGCTAATAAAATTAAATACAAATAAATCGACATACATAAACTTTACTTATAAGAAATTAAACTATGTCCCAGTACACATAAATGGCATACCGAAATGTGTGTTCCGCGTATCGTAGTGCGTGCGTTTTTGTGTTTTGATCTTAAAAGTCTCAACTCACAAACAATATGAGGGGTGTGTTCGCCAGCTTCATATAGAACATAATGCTTACGTAACCTGCAGTGTTCGGTCAGGAATTGGGTAAGGAGCCTTAAGTCACTTTGTGATTTTCCCAGAAACTGAGTTGACCTCTTCCGGTCAGGGTAGAGCAGAGTTTTCTTTGTAAACACACCTACTGCAGTCTCATCCCATNATGTTTTTCATATTTTGTTTTATTCAAAAATCAAAATTTATGTTAAACAAATATTTTAATATTAGAATTTTTTTGCTATATTGTAGTACAAATATATCATAGAAAAGAATATAACATTTTTAACATCGTTACATCAATATATCTGAAAAAGCATGCAAAACTGACCTACACTCAACTTATTAATTACACAGAAAAACCTCACTGCTAAGTTACATTTCTTTAACTAGCACAAGAGTACTAAAGAAATGGCTATCTCGCCGTGATGCAAATTATTTTTTATTTTGTATTGGAATCACGTGTGACACTACATGCAAAAATGTCAGTAGTGCATGGATATAGTCTATTTTATGTTTAAACTTGTATGTAGTTTCATGTAGGAATGATTCCTTCACAGCACTTAGGCCCCAGCAGGCCCTATGTACATCCCCACAATTTACAGTTCATTCATGGGTCAAAGAAACTTTTACATCAGATAGTCCAACAACTATGTTAAATAGTGTTCCTAGTATAATTCAAAGTGATCAACAGAGTAATATACCATGTGGAAGAATGAAAGAACTGTATTGTAAAATACGAATACTAAATATAAAGAAATCAGTAGGCAATACTGATTTCTACCCAAACGAGCGATTGCAAAGCTATTACACATAATTAATGCTGCTTTTAAACAGAAATACTTCCGAAGTATATGGAAAGTTGCTGAAATAATAATGATGCCAAAACCTGGTAAACTCCCCACAGATGTTACATTATAGAGGCCAATCTCATTATTACCCTTACTCTCAAAACTACTTGAAAAATTACTTTTAAAAAGACTAAAACCTGTCATAGAAGAAAAAGCCCTAATATCAACACATCAATTTGGGTTTGGGAATAAACATGCAACAATAGACCAAGTGCATAGAATAACTAATACTATCGAAATAGCAATGAAAGAAAATGAAGCCTGCTCCGCCGTATTTTTGGATGTTGCACAAGCTTTAGACAAAGTCTGGTTTGATGGTTTAAATTACAAAATAGACCAAATACTACCATCAACGTATAGTCAACTACTAAACGTTTATTCACCACTACATGAAATACAAGCCGGCATTCCTCCAGTAAGTGTGCTTGGTCCAACGCTGTGCTTCCTCTACACATTCGACCTTCCTCAGATTCCAGAAACTTTAACAGCTACATTCGCAGATGACACAGCGATCTTGGCTGTTGCAGAAAATGATATAGTTGCAGCAAATAAGTTAGAATTGGCCTTAAATTCAATAGAAAACTGGACCAAACGATGGCTAATAAAATTAAATACAAATAAATTGACATACATAAACTTTACTTATAAGAAATTAATCTATGTCCCAGTACACATAAATGGCAACGCCGACACCGCAAAATATCTTGGTATGCCAGAATAAAACAGTAATAACCGAAATGCGTGTTCCGCGTATCGTAGTGCGCGCGTTTTTGTGTTTTGATCTTAAAAGTCTCAATTCACAAACAATATGAGGGGTGTGTTCGCCAGCTTCATATAGAACATATGCTTACGTAACCTGCAGTGTTCGGTCAGGAATTGGGTGAGGAGCCTCAAGTCACTTTGTGATTTTCCCAGAAACTGAGTTGACCTCTTCCGGTCAGGGTAGAGCAGAGTTTTCTTTGTAAACACACCTACTGCAGTCTCATCCCCTCTGTCGCAACAAGCTCGATGGGAGATGGAGTTGATCAGCTTTGATGCTGTATTAAAAGTTAGTGGTACAAATGGTTCGGGGGACTTCTTAGCCGCCCGTTTCGCCAGCCTGTCCGCATGATCGTGTCCCTTATTTCCGATATTAGCCTCCTCAAGTGAATTCCAACAGGACTTCACTAACGATGATTTAATTCGATGCCTATTAACCGCTAGCATAGCCTCTCTGCTATCAGTGCAGATTACAACGTTTCTGCCAACTTTTTTAGAGTCGATGATCACATAAGCTACTGTATTTGTAGCAGTTATTTTGGCCTGAGCAGTCGGACAGTACGACCCTAGTAAAATGGAAAAGTGTAGCTGCAGATCGTGCGAGAAGTTATCAGTGTAGATCAGGGGTACTCAACCTTTTTATACTTACTGCCCACTTTTGTATCTCTGTTAGTAGTAAAATTTTCTAACCACCCACCAGTTCCACAATAATGGTGATGTACATATCATGTAGGGAAAAAAATGTATAAAATTTCTAAAGCAGAGTTACAGCAAATTAAAGCATATAATAATAATTACTTACCAAGTACTTTATGTCGGATTTTCGCAAAGTTTGACAGAATAAACCTTTATAAAACAACTTACTATAGTTAAGTATATCTTTTTATTTACACTTTGCATAAATAGAAATTACATTACTTAATTTCATTATTAGTGCGATTCCTCAGGCTGATGCTGGTGAGGACCAAACGAAGGTCTCCTTTTTCGGAAATATTTTGGCGGTTTCTTTCTTTGGTCATAATATGATTAAACTGCACTAAATCCTGATTGCACAAGATATGAGGCAGGGAAAAGTATCAACAAACAGAATATCATTTTCCACATATTTGGATATAATATATATATTTGGGCATTTTTTTATTTTGCCAGACATTTTCATATCCACCACTGTCAAATTTTTGTTTACTTTCTTTATCATATCTAATTTCTAACAGTTCTTCTCAATATCTGCCGTAAAAATAGTCTTCATCCAGTCGTCATCCAATTTAAGTTTGTTGAGGTTCCATATTCTCTGGAGATACATCATCTTTTATACATAGTAAATGAGGAAACTGATGAAATTCTGTCTTCAATAGATTATGACGAAGTAGTTGAAGCTTGTCAATAAATAATGGCACAATACTTTTTCAACCTATAAGAGTTTTATTAGCTCCTTGAAGCTGCAAATTGATATCGTTAAATCTCTTGAAAATATCTGCCAAGTAAAAGGCATGATTCTTTACTGCTTTTAATTGTTGACACAGATTAGTCTTATCATTACTTTCAAAAAATTGTATGATACTATCATATAATGTTACAAATCTAGCCAAACATGTACCCTTTGATAGCCACCGACCTTCTGTGTCCTCGCAAAGCTGCCAAAACATTCTATCGTTCTGCAATATTCTGCAGAACATAAAAGTCTGTAAAATATTAGGGTTAGATTGATTTTAAATCACTTTGACACTATTATCCGAGTGGACAATGGAAAAAATGTTTGGATGTAATATATACTGGAATAAAACTGTCTTACTAAAATATTTAGACGAATGAACAAATACAGTATAATCAATATGGATACATGAAAACGCCACTACTGTACTGTAAAGAGTTAGAAATAACCTTAAAATTTTTGAAGCTATTCAGGGGATGACTTTCATATAACTTTCTGTTCAAAACCTCTTCTTCTCCAAGTTACCCTCTAAAGTTAAGGGGAAAAATCTGCAACTTCTTTTACATTTTGTACCTCTGTATAAGTAAGCTTTGGTAGCTCGATTCAGTCAGTCGACTTATAATTTAAATTTAGTGAAGTTAAACAGCGTTTTATATAAACAGTAACAAATTTGATAAATAGCAGTTTTGTGATTTTTGGCAACCTTCTTCACACTTTCAGAAGACACACGGCTTAACCCGAAAATTTCTAGGTATAGTGTTAGTTCTAGTGCTAGTGCTGGTGTTAGTTCTTGTTTTAGTTTAATTAACACCGGCCGTGAAAGCCTTTGTACTTATATGAGTCAAACTTGAATTGCAGTTATATAAGCTAGAGATAATAATAAGGATGCTCATTATCATATAGTATGTTCGGTTTATGTAGGAACAAAGGATGAGGACCTGTTTGAGATTCTTGATACATTAATATCTGAAAATAATTTGAATTGGCATAAACATGTTAGCGTCTGTACTGATAGAGCTCGTCCCACTTATGCAGAATTACTTGATCGTTCTAAAGATATAAAAACCGCATTTGGGCAGCACTTATCACATTCAAGATGAAAATTTCGATGAGTTTGCTTGGATGTAAGATCCAATTAACACTAATTCTCTAAATGTTCTCGAGTTATCTTGTGATAACAGTTTAGTAAAGTAAAGTTTAGCAGCATGAAATTAACACATTTTAAGTGATAAAGCACAAAGGTTATGTATCTAGAGAGTTACGTAACAGTTTATAATTATTTTAAATATTTTAGAAATTAATACACATATACAAAATAAAAAGCCGCTCTTTTGTAATGTTAATTTATATTAATTTGAATAATATTATTAATGCTTTTCTGATTATTTTTAATTTCAAATTGTGTTAAAAGTATAGTTGAAAAAATCATAACTTCTTATAATTATCTTAAACTTTTGCACGCTTCTATACTTAAAAACGGCACTAATTTAAAAATGTCAAAATTAAAGGTTATGTTGTAACCTCCAAAACGATATTTTTTTATTTTAATCTTCGTCAGTCTAAAATGGGTAATAGTCGCACTATTTAAGAAAAGCTTTTATAAATAACACGAATTGAAAAAAGTCTTCTAGAAATATTCTTCAGTATTTCAATGTCAATTTCGGTGTCTAACCAAAATTAATTATGTTTACTCGATATACTCGATTTTATTACACTACAAATAAGTATACGAACGAAGTATTCAGTATCAGGTTAAATAATTTTAGTGGTACTGCATCCACAACTGATAATGAACCGGCTACAACAGTACCACAACATGCACGAGTTGTTATTTGTGGTGGTGGAGTTATGGGAGCCTCTGTTGCTTATCATTTAGCCAAATTGGGGTGGGCTAATGATACTGTATTAATAGAACAACACAGGTAGGTATCATATTAACCAAAACTTATTAACACTAAAAATTTGTTAATTCTTTAGAATTGGAGGTGGAACAACTTGGCATTCTTCGGGTCTTATAGGTGTTTTTAAACCTAGCTTAGCTCAAGTAAATCTAACAAAATCTAGTATTGATTTATACAAGGAATTAGAATCTAAGAAATTACCCACAGGATGGAAACAATGTGGAAGTGTAAATTTAGCTAGAACTATGGATAGAATGTTTGTTTTTAAAAGAATGAAAGCTCAATCAGTGTAAGTTGATATAATACAATATTAAAAAAGTACTGTTATTTAACATAAAAGTAATTTAATTAATTATTTAGATCCTGGGATATTGAATGTGAACTTTTAACACCCGATGAATGTAAAGAGAGATGTCCAATTTTAAATATTGATGGTGTTAAAGGAGGGTTATGGATTCCTTCTGATGGTGTAGGTGACCCTTATGATATCTGTTTATCACTTGTGAAAGAAGCTAGAAGTTTAGGTAAACATTAAATAAAAAAATTAACATATTTAAATCATTTTTTTTTCATAGGAATAAATGTATTAGAAAACTGCACTGTTAAAAGAATAAATCAAGAAAAGGGTTGTGTGAAAAGCGTTGAAACTAACCTTGGGAAGATCGAATGTGAATATTTTGTAAATTGCGCTGGTTTTTGGGCACGAGGAATAGGTCAATTATCAGAACCTTATGTTAAAGTCCCTTTGCATGCTGTTGAACATTATTATTTACACACAAAACCTATACCAGGTTTAGATTCACTATTACCAGGTAGTGATTATTATTTCATTTATTTATTATTAATTGCATAACTTTAAAATTAGTTGTTAGAGATCAAGATGGTTACATTTACTTTAGAGAAAATAATGGTCGTTTACTTGCTGGGGGATTTGAACCTACAGCAAAACCTGCTTTTGAAGATGGAAAAATACCTGGTAAATAGATTTTTTGTTTTTATTTATTTCATTATTACTACAAAGTCAAAATTAAAACAAAACATTAAAATTATTGCTGATTACAATAGTAATAGTCTATCTATATTAATATGTTGGTTCAACATTTAATTTGTCTTTTTAGTTAGTCCAAAGGATAGATTTTTACCGGAAGATTGGGATCATTTTCATATTTTATTGGAACAACTACTTTTTAGAGTACCTACACTTGGAAACGCTGTTTTAGATAAATTATGTAACGGTCCTGAAGCTTTTAGCCCAGATTGCAAATGGATTGTTGGAGAAGCCCCAGAGGTGAAATCTTTTTTGTCAGAATTTAACACTTATTTTATTATTTTTTGTTTGTAGATTAGAAATTATTTTATAGCAGCAGGTATGAAAACTGTAGGAATTTCAGCTGCCGGAGGAGTTGGTAGAGCTACAGCAGACATGATAGTTGCGGGGGAATCTTCTTACGACATGTATGAATTGGAAGTGTCGAGATTTTTAGGTTTGCACAACAATAGAAAGTTCCTACGCGACAGAGTCAAAGAGGTTCCTGGTTTACATTACGGCTTAATGTATCCTTTACATGAATTTCAGACGGGCAGAAATTTGAGAATGTCACCTGTTTATCCAAAATTGAGAGACGCGGGGGCTGTATTTGGTCAAGTTATGGGGTATGAACGACCAACATGGTTTCAAAATCGAATGGATGATGAAGGTAAAGAAATACTAGTAGTAAAACTAATTATAAGACGTACCATATTTTATAGATGAATTTGATGATTGGTCTAGGCCTCAAAATATTGCAAAAACAAAGACGTTTGGTAAACCACCTTGGTTTGAAAATGTTGCGGATGAATATGCAGCTTGTCGAGAAAATATTGCAATCAGTGATTATTCTTCTTTTACAAAAATTGATTTATGGGTAAATAGAATATTAATTTAGTACTAAATACATCAATTATTTTTAAATTTTGAAGTCTAAAGGTCGTGAAGTAGTGGATGCTTTACAATATGTTTGTTCAAATGATGTTGATGTTCCAATTGGAAGTATAATTCATACAGGAATGCAAAATAAGTATGGTGGTTATGAAAATGATTGTTCTTTAGCTAGGATAACTGAAAATCAGTAAGTAAAATTCAGCAATTCATGTACAATTAAAATCTGCTTATGATATTTTTGGTTGATTTTAAAATTAAACAATTGTAGTTTGTAACTGACTCATAACATCCTTAAAATTAAGGTGAAAAAATTTTCAATTTTGTTTTTCTTTTTATGAATTTCGAAATATCTAATTGATCCATCCAAGTCATTGATTTATATCATTGTTACATTATATTATTATAATAAGGTGCTCTTAAATATTAGAGGCAATTGGGTTTTCCTTTTTAAAAGTTGGATATTTTCTATAAGTGTTTAATGTAATGTGCACCTAAAAAATGATGTCCTTTAAAATATATCGATTCGAAGGTTGCATTTGAAAAGGCGGTGTTTTAACAAAAGAGAACATTGTAATGACACAATTGATTTTCGTCAAATATTTTTTACAAAATTTATTATTAAATTGTATTATTGCAGTTTATATGCACCTGTCCTAGATATCTATATTCTGTTGTTTAACCTCATAGATTACAATATAAAAACTCATTATTCTTCAAAATTAAAAACAGTGAATTTGTATATAAATGAAAAATATTTCATAAGCTTTTTTCTCTAATCCTGTGTCGGTTCCTTCTGGTGTTCCTCAGGGTAGCCAACTAGGCCTTTTACTGTTTAATATTTATGTTAATAATATATTTGACGTCGTTAATTATGCCCAATATTTAATGTATTCTGACTAATCTTCATGCTTTTTGCTTAAATAATCCCCTTTTATTAAACTTATCAAAGTGTAATGTTTTTTCGTTCTCTAGGAGGGTAAATACAATCCACTACAATTATAGCGTCGCTGGTGAGAAGTTGCAACGTGTCTCATTTATTAGAGATTTGATAAACATATTGATACTGTTCTTTCCAAAGCCTGGCGTATGTTAGAATTTATTATGAGATCCACGGTAGCTTTTTCTAATATTGATGCAATTACAAATCTCTATTTTGCCTATGTCTACAGCACACTTAACTTTTGCAGTGTCCTTTGGAATCCTGAGTATCACTCATATAAATCTAGAATTGAGGTATTCCATCTAAATTCCTCAAGTACCTTTATTTTCAATTTTCCGTTCAACATATTGGTTACGATCAACTTGCACTTCTTTTCGTATGTTAACTCTCAGCCAGCGTCGCTTTTGTGCGGATATGTTATATTTTTATAATTTTTTGAACAACAAATGTAATTCTCCAATGCTTGTCGGTTTTATAGGCGTTCATGTACCTCCTAGATTACTTCGCTTTGATTTTCTATTTGTAACACTTACTCCTAGAACCAATGCCTGTCAAAACTCTTCTTTATTGAGAATGACGAGATCCGCAAATCGTGTTAAAATAGCTCTGTTCAATAAACTACTTTAAAATTGCTCTTTGCTGCAGTTGGTGTGTTTCCACGGGCGTTCATTTGATATGTGATATTTATATTACCTAGACTTAGTTTTATTTTTCTTCTTTCGATTCAGCTTTGTACCATTATTATTAGTTCATTATTATTATTGTGAACTGTAATTTTACTTGTATAAAACTGGTTGTTTGTGCTACAGAGTGATTGGGTTCGAAATGTTTCTGTACCCACTTGAGATAAATAAATAAAAACAAAGTAAGATGAAACTACTTTATCGAAAATTTAAAAAATTAAAAAATTTTATTTTGTGGTCACGGCAATCATGGGAATAAAACAGATGTGTTTTCGACCCAAAATTGTGGAAAATTAAAATAGTGCTTATAATTAAAAAAATCTTTGATAGGTATTGTAAGAGCGCGATACGTACTAGTTTATTGTGTGAAGCATAACTGTGCAAAATTTGATATAGATCTGTAGTTGCAGAGATATTTCTGATACCGGTTTTGAGTAAAATGTGTTTAAGCTTTGCGTACACTACATTGAAATAAGTTATTTACTAAATATTTTATTTATTTAAAACTTGGGTAAACTCGACAAACTTCTTTAGATGTTGACGCATTCAATAGATTTCTTTTGCTTTGTCAACCTCATTCTTCTTTCTTTTGATACCCCTTTGATACACTCGGTTAGGTAAATGCGTTGTAAATTTGCAAATTCAGCCCAACGATGTGTATTTTTCCGTGTTTCAATTTCCAGTATTTGTATTATTTGCAATATACTTTTCACTACATCTTTGAATACACATGCACCGATATTTCCAACAATTTCGATAATTTTAGAACAGGATTGCACTTCCTTCATTGTTGTTCCGTGTAAATCCGTTAACACAACGTTCCAACAAATTATAATTACCTAGATCTTTATAATTGGACTTGATTGCAGTCAAAACGAACCGACCTCACAAAGTACTGTACTAGTTCAGTTTGTTATCTCCATTTGATAAGAATCTGACGCCTGAGGATATTTTTAGTTATGTGATTGTTCATCTGTAGAGCTTGATGTTTTGTTACACATTATGTTGATTTGTGGTTGCTTTTTGTTCTTTCTTACATCTTTTCTGAGTTCCCCGGACTGATATTTCATTCGTAAACTGTTTTAAGTCTAGTTCCTCTGTATAAAGTTGCCTATTAATTCCACATATTTATTCAAATAATTTATATGCCAGTTGAACTGCTCTCTACTCTGTTGCTGTCTATTATCAAATATCACTAATATCAATATTTTAGTTTTTATCGAAGACAAAAATTGCATGTTAAATGGATTTTAGATACTCTTTTTAAATTTTACATAACTTCTTATTTATCATTTTGAATAATTTATAACTTTGTTCGTTGGGTCTTTCCTACTCTGCACGACATGGCACTAATATGGCGTCATAGTGCAATTAAGTGTAAGTAAGTGCAAGGAAGTAGTAGGAAGGAGTAAGTGAAGGTAAAATAATTGATTTTATCTCCATCTTCATTTATCACAAAACACGCTTCCTAATATTTCGCCATTTTAGTTACAATGAATTACACTGCACCTGTTGAACTTAACCGAAAGCAGGTTCAACAAAATCTGCACTAACTTGCACCGGCTGCACGAAATTGTATTACGCATGGTCCAACGAACAGTATGAGTGCAACTGCACTAAACTACACTGTCCCCAACGAACACAACATCTGCACTAAACTGCTTAGTGCAAGTAGCGCAGTCGCAACGAACAAAGTTTGTATGTATTATTCAAATTTATGTTTTATAAAATTTGCAAAATTTTAGATGCTAAATGGAAAACATATGCAGTTTCATTTTTAAGTCTGTGGCCGATTTCACATGCACTATAAAACCTTTAAAATTTACCTCAACTTGTGTTCATGTTGTTCAAGATGAGAAGAGTGTCAAATTTAGTTCAGAACAGAAGTTCTTTAACGACCGTGCCCAAGATATTTTCACACAATAGTACCATACATAGCTTAGTAGTCGAATATCTTTGGATCTATTGATTTCAATAGATTGTACCAATATTTATAAATCAAGTAAAAAATTTAATTATGATTTGAAAAAGTTAAGACATTTTTCTGGCAAATTAAAAATAGTCCTAAATTTGCATATTTTCCGGTCGATCAACTTTATTTTTCGAAAATAACTTATCTATTTTTTAGTTCAATTATGGATGAATGTAAAGATACCCTAAATTTACAAATTTTACATTGGGTCCAAAGATATTTACCAACAATGTTAAACTTTTGAGGGCACATTGCTTGGGCGCGTTTGTTTAGGTGTTAGGATTTTTCATACTTTTCATCGTTTTGTCATTTTACTTGTCAAGTTAAATATATAGAAGTTCCATCGTGCTGAAATTACATTATTCTATTACCTTGTACAACGTTGTGATGCTTAAAATACGACATCCTAAAAGTTGTTTTATCGATAAAAAGAAGAATTAAACTCGATTATTATTCTACATAATAATATGTTGTCTACTACCGCTTGTAGGTATTACATGATTTGGATGTAATTGCTCATGGATTGTTGTAATTGCTCTCATGTGGAAACCGTTGGCGATATTCTACATCCGCTTCCGCAACATTTTCTTTACAAAAACCATAAATATCATATACCTACACAATTTTAAATTTAAATAATTGTATAGCATTTTTTACATTTTTATACTTGAATCATTAAGTGTTACAAATACAAAATGCATTTCTCCAAATTTATCTTATATTTTCATAAAATTGATGCATACAACTTTCTCATTAAATTTAGCTATATGATGATAGCTCCAACAATTCAGCAAACAAGATGTAAAGTATGGTTACAAAAACATCTCCCATCGACGGTTGCATTATCAGATGTAACAAGTATGTTCACAGCATTAGCGATTATTGGTCCATTTACAAGAACATTACTCTCTGAATTGACCGACACCGATTTGAGCCCAAAAAATTTTCCATTTTTTACTTTTAAAATGCTCGATGTTGGTCTTGCCAATGGAATCCGGACTATGAATCTAACCCATACAGGCGAATTAGGATACGTACTTTACATCCCTAACGAAGTTAATTAAGAATTCACAGAAAAAGAATACATTTTCTATTAAGTTTTGTTTTAGTTTGCTCTACACGTTTATTCGAGCATTTTGGAACAAGGGATGAAATACGGGATGAAACATGCTGGTTATTATGCGACGAGAGCATTGCGCGTCGAACGATTTTATGCTTTTTGGGGACAAGATTTAGACACAAGAACAACTCCGTTGGAATGTGGTCGAGTTTGGAGAGTTAAATTTGATGTAAAAGGATTATTTATTTTTTTGTTGGGAGTTATACAAATAGAAGTATTTTTTTTAGAAAGGTGTTGATTTTATTGGAAGAGATGCTTTATTAAAACAGAGGGAAGAAGGTATTAAGCGACAATATGTCCAGTTATTATTGGAGGATCATTGTTCTGATACTGATTTATGGCCATGGGGAGGAGAACCAATTTATAGAGATGGTAAATACGTTGGAGTTTGTACTACTACTGGATATGGATTTACATTCAAAAAACAAGTATTTCAATAAAACTATTTTATTTACTTTTTTTTTACTTTATTTATTTTTAAGGTATGTTTAGGATTTGTTGAAAATTTAAATGATTATGGTGTCAGACAGAGAGTTACTAATGATTTTGTTCTTTCTGGTGATTATGAAATTGATATTGCTGGAATAAGGTATATTATTTATTAATCCATTTTGAAGTAATAATAATTATTTTTAATAAATTTTAGATATCCAGCTAAAGTACATTTGCATTCACCAAATTTACCAACTAAATTCCCTGATAAGGAACGTGAAGCCTATCAAGCTACAAGAGATAAAACTGACGATTCAATCGTGGTTACTATAAAGCGTTAAAGTTAGTTTTTAATGATTCTAATTGTAAAATATGTATATATCATATTCATTATTTAAATATATGATTTTGGTTTTAATTATAGTTAACTTATAGTTACTTTTATTGTTTTTATAAACAAAATACCCCTTTATATCAATAATTGAAGTAGAATAAAATTTATATCAAAAAAATACAAAAATTAAAATCAAAAATTATTTAGTGACTTGTTAAATTTTGCAGTTGGTATAATTGAATGGTTGACGTCTGTGGTGACATAACCTCGCTTTTCAAATTTAAATAATCCAACTGCCAATTTATGTTTACTAATAAAGAAGCAAATATTATATACTTTTTAATGTAAGCTGAACCATAAAATACTTAAATATCATAAAACTTTGAGATAAGTGTGTTTAAATAGTTTTTAAATTAGTTAATGTTTTGTATATAAAAATCTAACCTAACATTTTCAAATTGATCATAACAAAGAGTGCGAAAATGGTTCGTTATGCCGCGCTAAAAGGTTTTTATGAAGTTGAAAAGACTATAGGATGTGGAGGCTTCGCAAAAGTTAAAATGGGGACGCATATTGCAACTGGCGAGAAAGTTGCGATTAAAATAATGGAAAAAGCCGCTTTAAATGATGAATTACCGAGGGTTAAGTTAGAATTGCAAGCTTTAAAGACGTTATCTCATCAACATATTTGTAAATTATATCAAGTGAGACACATTTAAATACTTATTTAGGGCTAAGATTTTAAGGAGTTGATATCATTTTATTTTGTTTAGGTTATTGAAACTTCAATGCATTATTTTATTATTATGGAATATTGTTCCGGTGGCGAATTATTTGATCATATTGTTGAGAATAGCAAATTATCTGAAACGCAGAGCCGGATGTTTTTTAAGCAAATTGTTTCTGCTGTCGCTTATTTACATAGTTTAGGATATGCTCATCGAGATCTCAAACCAGTAATACATCCTTTTTTGTACAACAAAAATAAATGATATCAAAAATCAATTTTTTAGGAGAATGTTTTATTAGATAGGAATCAAAATTTAAAATTAATAGATTTCGGTCTTTGTGCAAAACCAGAAGGAGGAGCACAAAGCCTTTTATTAACATCTTGTGGTTCACCAACATATGCTGCACCTGAATTAGTTCTTGGAAAACAATATTTGGGTGAATCTGTTGATGTTTGGGCTATGGGAGTTTTACTTTATGCATTATTAGCTGGTTATTTACCTTTTGATGATACAAATATTGATAGCCTTTACAAAAAAATTTTGGTATCTTAATATTTTTAATGCATATTAAAATATTTACTAAAAATGAATATCTTTTTAGAGTGGAAAATATGAGGAACCAGTGTTTATGTCTCAAGAAAGTCGTAAATTTATTAGGCAAATGTTACAAGTTGATCCAAAAAAGAGAATCACTGTAAAAGAAATTTTAACACATCCCTGGATTACTTTAGGGGTCTTAGACCCTGTTGATACTTCTCCAGATTGTATAAAATGTTATGATAAAGAATGTGTGGTTGCTTTAGCAAGATATCATGGTGTTAATAACGAAGATATGTGGAGACATTTAAAAAGATGGAGATATGATTATGATATGGCAACATATTTTTTGTTAATGGACAGAAAAAAGAGGAAGCTTCCTTTAAAATTAAATATTATGGCTACTAAATTACCTATAAGAGTAAAATCGGTAAAAATAAAATTTAATTTTTTTCTATTCAATAGGAAACCTTAATTAACTTAAATTTTAGGCTGATACAATAAAAGTCCATGTAAACCTACCAGAATTAACTAGGAAAAGTGCCAATTTACCACTTTGTGAAAATACTGTCGATAATAATGTGAAAGTTATTATTACATCTCCTGATGTTACACCTTTAAAAGATAATGTAGATATAAAAGAATTAAAAGCATCACATCAAAATGGATTCAAATTGAATAAAGCAAAAGCTGGTGAAGTTAAATTTGAAACTATTATGAGAAAACCAATGAAGAGATTGAGAAGTCCTAATTTAGATGGAGATTATTCACCAAGTAAGTGTTAATTATATATTTTTTATTATTACAAATTATTGTTATAAACTGTGCTAATAATATCCATATTAATTAACTATACAAACTAATGTATAATTGAAATTAAACTGAACTAAATGGAAAGTCAGTAAAATTCTTTTTGAGTGGAGGTAAATTGAGCATAAATGAGATGACAATATTGAAATGTTAACAAAAATGAGTTATAATAAAATATAGAACCTCTATTTTGAAAAAAAGGGAAGTGTTGACGCACTAAGAATCACTATTAAAGTAGTCTCAGATAATTTTATTACGTGGATTAAGTGAGAGTGAAACATTAATAGTGATTTCAAAGAATACCAAGTGAAAAATGTGGTATAACAAAATATGAGAACTAAATTTTGGGAAACATATTAAAAGTATTGCAAACACATTATAGAAGTTTTTAAGAATATTATCAGTTAAGCAGACAAAGTGTGATTGATAAAGGTACCTAAAGTGTGAGATATTAATAGTGTCAAGAGAGATAACTTTAAGAATGAAATGGTAAACAAGTTGGTAATACAAAAAGCAAGACTGAAAGATATTAATTTATAATAGCAAGTTTTTAAATAGATTTTTATAACAGTAACCGAATCGGAAAACCATTATACAGGTGTTTCTGTAAATTTTGACATAATTTTATCACAAATACTAGAGTAAAAGTGATGATGATTCGTGTAAAAGTTTTCTTAAATAGTCCGCCTGCTTCAATGCGCGTTTGAAAGCGACGTGTTAAATTAACACGTAGGCAAGAAAATGTCAAAAAAATTTTGTAAACGACTCTATAATTTTTGCCATAATGGGTGAATAGAAATACGTCTTTCAAAAAATCGATAAACTATGTAAAAATAGAAGGATTGGTAACATTTTCAGATCCCAAAATTCTTTAATTTTTGCAATAATTAATATTAAAATTCAAAATTCCCTCTATAAAAGCTTTGGTGACGTTTACGAAGTTTTCGTGTAAGATGAAGAAGACACAAACGTGCATCGTTCGGATCTCTTCTTCTAGCGCATAAGATTCTCGTGGCATCTCGCTCATGCACGAGTTTCACTTTTATTGATTTTTATTTCAACCAACCGCGTGCGAAACGACGGTGACATCTCCAAAGTTTTTCCAAATTTTCATTATTTTTTTTTTTTGAAAAACTAAAGCCTAGTTTGAAAAATAAAAAATTATGGAAGTCTTCAACTTTGCTAAACTATCGAATAAGCTAAAAAAAAAAATTTGCAACGGCCATTGCAAATTCATTCTTTAATGTTGATATCCGAATCTATGTATACCTAATCTTTGACGCGACCCCATTAAGTGGTTACATGGGTTTCGGAGGTTTAACAAAGCAGGTTTTCTCATTTTTTTTAATAATAAATTAGTTATATTAAAAATGTTATGCATATACAAGAGCAACATTTAGATAATATTTTAGAAAATCCAATTCGAAAATTTTTCGACTTTTTTTAAAAGTAAAGTGGCTTGCGATTGACAGGATTATTCAGAAATGGTTTATTTGAAATTAATAAATCACTTTTTAATAAGTGTACAAAATTTCAATAAGATCGATGCATTAGTTTCTGAGTAATCGTGTCTATGGATTTCAAAAATTGAGTTTTGCGAAAAACCCGTTTAGAAATGGAGTGAGATCTGCGTCGCTCGTTCAGCCTAACAAGGTGAACTTCCAAAGGTTCTATCACCAGAGTTTTACTCCGATTGACTTGAAACTTTAGGAAAATATTCTAAACATATTATAATACTCTTGGATAGGAAATATTTAGAATAAATTTTAAATAGTTGAAATAGCCTTAGACACTTAGACCCTTAGAAAGGGAGTGAGATCTGCGTCGCTCGGTCAACCTAACAAGGTGAATTTCCAAAGGCTCTGTCTCCTGAGTTTTACTTCGATTGACTTAAGATTTTCGGAAAATATTGTAGACATATTGTACAAATTGTACATATTATACAAATAAAAAATAAAAAGAAATGGTTTTATTTGAAATTTTCAAACCCATAAAAATCTAGGGGAATGAGATCTCACGATCGAGCCGGCCAAATGATAGGGGTTTCTGGCCTTCGCCCAGCACAATCCAACGACCTGGAAAGTTTTGATATAACCACTTGATAACGGTGTTAGTACAATGAGGTGGCGCTTCATCGTATAAATACTACATTTGCAGTCTTGTTTCATATGAAACATCGTGTGATAACTCCCCCAGATTACTCCAAATATTAGAAATAACTAACACCATTAAGTGTGGGTCCGATAATGAAATCAACAACAATTCCAGCCCAAACGTTTACGCTGAATTGAGATTGACAAACCCGCGTAAAATGTGGATTTTCTTCAGCCCAATTATGAGTATTTCTCAAATTAATGGTTCCTTATTTTAAAAAGGTAGACTCATCTGTAAAAAAATTTTTTTACGATGAGTACGAAGCATCAATAGCACATTTTTCCATCATAATATGGAACTATACACGCAACGGATGATCAGCAATTTTTAATTCTTGTACAATCGACGTACTCGATATTCCGAATATTCCGAAATATCCAAACTATTGACATCAACAGTAGGTACTGGTAGTACTGCGAGCTTGCACAAAATCCAAAATGTTTTCTTCTAGTTCGGGTGTACGAACTGACCTCTGCCACAAATTTCCTGTCTCACGTAATCGTCTATCGATATTTAGAAATGTTTTTCTATCAGGTTGTCTATGGCTGGGAAATTTTTCGCAATTTTCGCATTTTTCAGTTTGCTCACTAAAACTGTTATAGGGGTTAAAATGGCTATTAAACCCTTAACATAAATTTCTTTTGTCAAAACTTGGTAAAAAATATCATTTGTTGTTATAGTTGATAAGAAATCCTTAATAAATTCTTAAACCATACATAAATTTTTTGCGCAGAAGTTATAAAAATATAGGTACAGTAAATATAAACTTTGTCCCGAGTGAGACTCGGGCTTGCACAATTTTGCCATTTGGGCTTGTGCGTTATTGGGCTATAATTTTATAGATTGCTTTACCTACAATTGGTTTTCATAGGCACATTAATTAATTAATGAAAACATTTCAATATCGAGGTTGTATCTTTTTGCGAATAACTCGAAAACGTGCATCGAATCAAAAATTTCTAAGAATGAAAATAATTTTAATATAAAATAGCCTTTTAGAATCAGTTGGAAAATGTAAGGGTTTACGACATAATAACAAAGTTTTAAAGATATAACCTTTATGAACACGTTGGGTAGCATTAATCCTGCGGTTGCATATTTTTTTTAACGATTTCTTATGACACCATTGCACTGTTTGCCAAATTTAATTTTTCTAATACAAACCATTTTGAAAATGTTAACATTGAAGTCCCATATCTTAGCTAATTAAAAGCAAAATTAAAAATTTTGGTTTAGATCAAAAATTTTTACACGAATCGTCATCATTTTTACTCTAGTGTTTGTGATTATAATTATGCCACGATTTACAGAAACAACCTATATAAATAAAAAATTTTACTATGTTTTTTTATACATTATAATAATGACATTATCATGATAATTATAAAAACTTTACAACTGATATTAAAGTTTCTCTTGTAGATGCTACAGATATTAAAAAAAGTATATTGTTTAATTAACATTTCTGTCCGCTCATGATTGTTACCTATATTAATTTGTATTTTATTAACGATGCCATTTACTGGGAGATGAAAATAGCAATTGTACGATTTGTTAGGGAACCTCACCTCAAATCCTTCAATGCCACAAAGGCTTAGTTTATAGAAGTTGGCTATACGTTAAATTCTTTAGAATGTGATTGCAATGCAAATTATAACATCAAATGAAAATCTTTGATATTTTGAGAGATAGTTGATGATAAAATTAGTATTCTAGTGATGTCTTACATTTTCTTGATTTCAACCCTCTTAAAGCGACAGAAGGAAATTTTTTCAATATACATATATATAAGGAACTCCGGTTCTATTTGTATAGATAGGGGAGTGAGAACGCATTCCAATGAAGTAAATTAGAAGTTTTCCTGACGTAGACTGTTGTGAAAATAAATTAATTGGCTATTGCTAGTAATTATATTATAATAATTATTATAACTATGATTGTTTTGCTTGATACATAATTGTTTTTTTTTTTCGAATAAAATATTACTTTTGTGTAATTTTTGTTCGTATTTTTTGTATGATTTTTTTTATGTAAGTTATTAAAAATTAACGTAATCATCATGCAATTATTATTAGTGTTCATGGTTTTTAAAGATGGGTTACATCAAAGGTATGTCAAAGATTTTTTGTAATTTTTATTTCATAACCATATATAGGACGTAGTACGTGTATAAATATAAACGTAGGGTTGCAACTCTTTTGTTTTCGAGCTATGAACGTTCAAAGTTGAGCCAAAAAATGACATTTTATTTTTTATCTCGGCTATAAGTAGAAAACCGTAGTTATAATAAGTTTTATCTTTAGACTCGTTTTAGCGATTTTTCCATAAACTGTTTTAACGCAAGGACAGTAGAATCTAACAGGACTGCTACATCCATTGTATTTTTGTAGTCCACTACGGGTTGGTTGCCCGCACTCTACGTCACACTATTTGCCACGCCTGGTAACTGTCTGTGTTTTTAGAGGTTATATGATAGACATTAATACGTCTAAAAACATAAACCTTCAAAAATAATATGAATAAGTCTAGGATATAACCTCTAAAAACACAGCAAAGGCATAGACCATAACAACAGCTGGGCGTGGAAAATGGTGTGACGTAGTTTGCGGGCAGGTTGTCACAACAATGGATGTAGCAGTCCTGTTAGATTCTACTGTCCTTGGTTTTAACGAATTTATCCGTTACTTTAGGAAAACACTGTATGTAGGAGTAATGATTGCGAATTATCATCAAATGAGTGCGAATGTTTTCGGGGTTCAGCAAGGTTTGGTATTCGGTCATACATTCTTTCCATTTATACAATTAATGATGGTCAAGATTCATTGAAACAAACACTCAAGGGATTGTTTTTTGGTTGTAAATCCTGTCAAGTTGGCTGCTTTATCTTTGCTAGTTAGGATACAACTAAAAAAGAACTTAGTTAGTTATGGAAGATCGGCCCATTATTAACGTGATAAAAGGCAAGTTCTAAATAAGCTTTATCGAAATAAGTGCATAGGTAGGGAGTGGTGGTCTCATTAATTGAGCTCCTAGGTCTCCCGACCTAACATCTCTTGCTTTTTTCTGTGGGGTTTTATTAAAAACAGAAGTGTTAACCAAGAAGTGCCTACAACACCAGAAAATATGTGGCAAAGAATTCGTGATAAGTGCAGACAATTAAGTCCAGTAATATCACGACGAGCGCATGCATCTTTTATTAACCGTTATCATATATGCCTCGAAGTAACTGGACATCACTTTGAGCTCATACTTGACTTTTCTGGGTTCTTAATCATTGCGACTTGAATGTTTATGATGTTATTTTCCGTTCAAATACTTCTGGGTCGTGCACTTTATCATTGATCACGGATCATGCGCATTCAAATTTCTCATCCACTCGACGGATACTGAAATGACTTGGAGGATCCTTCTGAATCCATAGCAACATTTTTTTTTACTACTGAGGCTAGGTACTTTAATATTTTCATGCAATATTCACTTGCAATTTTTTTTTGAAATTTATTTATCATATTTTGTGATTGAATACAATTGGACATATCATGTAGCAACCGTTGATTGCTGGTTAGAAATGAATAAATTAAAGCAACTGCCATGAACACTATGTGGATGGACTTGAAATGAACTCAAAACGTGATATGGCAAGAAGTACATTACTGCTTTGTTTTTATCAATTTATTTCTGGTAGTTAATGGACATGTATATTATATCAATTTTATTTCTCAAGGTACGGCTGGAAAGGTATTGCTTAATGCACATTTAATGTAACCCTTGTCATTCGTAACATACTTAAAAGTAAAGTGTGTATAGAAACATCATGACAGCACCTGAGCTTACTTGAGATAAAAATAGTTTGTTTAATTTGCCAAAGTGGTAAATTTAGGAAATATAGTGATGTAAAGTTTTAATTGCTATATGTGCAGGAAAATATCAAATAAATTAGGTGTGACCAGTAAAACTGTTTTTTTGGTTCATGCAAGAGAAATAGTTTTTGTGTTTTCAAAAAAAAGAATGCTTTTATCGCTATTTGCTGGCTATTGCTGATGAAATTCTAAAGTTCCGGACAACGAATACGGTCGTTTCGCAGTTTCTTGTTAGTTCGAGCTCTTGTCTCTGAAAATCCCGTTCGTCACGAGACGGTCTCGCGTAAAACATTTCGGCCGAGGTCGTATATATCGGCAACAAGAAGAGCCGAAGCAGTTAAAACTTTGAAAGCGCGAGCGGGTTGTCGCGAGGAGCTTCCCCATTTCGGGGTTCGAAGGTAAACGGGGCACCCCGCGACTGAGTGTATATCAGTGTCCGGTTCTTCAAGGGCCGTTACCTTCTTCTTTACGACTCTGAACTCTTTAAATTAGTTCGGCTCGGCGCAAGTGCCTCTAAACACTAATAAGAAAGTGCCGGGCGACGCGTCCCCGCGGACCCATAGCTCACCGTACCGGCACTGAGTTATCGTGCGGGGTTTAGTTCCATTCGAAGACCCCTTTTCCACCTGCTACATCTTCCCCTCTCTTTTTCTCTTCAATCACACCTCGAGAGAATAATTAAGATTTTTTTCACCAAACGCAATTTAAAAAAAAGGAGATAATAGTGAATTATAAACATTTCTTCATATTATTATGTGTTAAACGCTTCATATAAGAGTTTAATTTTTGTCGTTATTAAATAATTCTTCGAAATATAATGTTAATTTCTCGAGAACATAATTTTTTGTTTAATGATTATGGATATTGCCTAAACGGTTTATACTTCATTAATTTTTATCATTTTCATAAATGTTATAATTTATAAAACAATTACCTATCAAGATGAATCGATTACTAAAACAAATAAAGTTAATTTTGTTTCTTTTTCATTTAATATCTTAAGAAAAAAATTGTCTACTGTATCAATTTTAATGTCAATTTTATTTTTCAGTACCGACCAAAAAGATTTTGAATGATGTTACTTCTTCTGCGAGTACTCCAGATAGGTAAGTTTCTGCCCTATTTATTTATTTTTCTTTAATTTATTGTTCATTCCCGAAAAGACATAAGAGTCCATAACAGGTATATAAATACTAAAATATAACAGCAACGCAAGAAGAAGTTAACATATACAACAAAAAAAAACATTTCGGAATCAGTTTAACCTAAGATTAAGGTAATAAGTCTTCTCCCGCAAAGGAGTCCAGACCATTCTGATTCTTCACCCGTTGTGGTAAATCATTAAACCACTCCGCCGCTGCTGTTGTAACACTTCTTCTCCCAATGTTTCTTGCAAGGGACAAGATGTGAATATTTTGGTTAGCTCCTGTATTATCCGCATGCATATCGCAGTTGAGGTTAAAGTGAATGCCAGTTTCCATTAGATTATTTTTGTTTTTATATATTAGCTTCAACTATCAAGCTTAATCATCTCATGTATATTAAGCACTTTTAACTCATTATACAATGATGTACTATTTGTCCTATGTGGTTTACAAAAGAGAATCTTTAAAAACTTATTTTGTGTTACTTGTAGCTTGTCAAGATCTTTTTTTTACGAGCGTGACCGCAAAAAACGCAAAGATAATTTAAGTAAGGGTGAGCATAGGCATAATAAATAGAAAATCTCGTTTCATTGTTGAAATATTGACCATTACTTTTTAGATGATAGCTTATACCATTTAACTTTTCTTGTATTAATTTTATATGGTATTCAAACGTTAATCTGTTATCTAAGACAATGCCCAAATAGGTACTATTATTTGTAACTTCACTCAACCTAACACCAGAGATTATAAGTTCACGACTTTTCGTAGTGGCCTTTTTATTAAAGATCATATATGTACATTTATCGCTGTTTAATTGAATGTTATTTTCATCTACCCAAGAGCAAACATTGTCCAGATCACTCTGAGCATCAGAAACGACAGAGTCCATAGACCCGCTGTAGAACAAAACAGTATCATCCGCATACAAGGCAAGATCACCATGCATACAACAATTGGTTATATCATTTATATATATTAAAAAAAGCAGAGGACCGAGGACAGATCCCTGGGGTACTCCATACTTTATATGAGTCCTGCTGCTAGTAACATCGTAAACAGTGTACTGCTTTCTATTTCTTAAATAATTAAAAAAAACTCTCAGTGATGGTCCCTGAACTCCCAAAGCTTCGAGCTTACTAAGCAGTATAGCATGGTCAACCATATTAAACGCCTTACACAAGTCCAGGAAAACAGCCAAAACGGTTTTGCTCTCATTGAGATTTCTATAAACCAATTCCAACAATGATATAATACCAGTCTGTGTGCTTTTACAGCCTATGAAACCATGCTGCTCACAAGTTTGGAAACCAATCGTATTCAAATGGGACAGTAGTTTACTTTTTAAAATTGATTCCAATATTTTGGCAAAGACCGACAGCACAGATATTGGTCTATAGTTGTCCGAAAGAGTTTTTGAGCCTTTTTTATGCACTTCCTATCTTTAGGATATCGGGAAATTGACCAAGTTTTATTTCTATTGATAATACTTGATAGAATAGGTGACAAAACTCCTTTCAGTACTTTCACCGCTTTTGGTTTTATACCGTCATCGCCTGGTGTTGCATTGTTTTTTATATTATCAATTATACGCTCTATTTCATCTGCAGTTGTAGGCTTAATGTACATTGAGAAATCTATCCCATAATCCAAGGTGACATTGGCGGCCGGTTTTCCCGCAAGCAACCTGTCTACACTGAAGGTGAAGTGATCATTCAGAACATTAGAAATTTCCATAGGATCCACTGCGTCTCCCTTATTGCTTACAATCTTAGGAATCCGTTTATTTTCTATATCAATCGACTGGGCATTCTTAATAATACACCACTGCTTTCTCGGGCATCCATCAGTATTCTGCAATTTTTTATCCATATGTTCCTTCTTGCTCCTTCTAATAAGGTTTTTGACTTCTTTCCGTAATTTGACAAAATGACCATATAATTCACTTCCAGGAAAACGGTTCGTCCTAATATACGCTTTACCTATTTCTTTTATTTTATTCTTGACTGCTGTAGTGAACCATCCCTCACTTATATTTGTTGTTGTACGTCTTACAGATGTATTCGTGACTTTACCAATTTACTTTAATGTGCTAGTAGTTGTTTAGGCTCAAATCGGTTTTCCACACACGCTAAATTCAACGAGACCATCTCGGGGCGCATGAATCGTTCGTGTTTATGTTGCTGCCAAGGTAGTAAAACGTGGAGTTGGAACGCAACGCGTTCGGTGAATCGGGACGCGGTTACATGCTCGATAGGCCCGACGTATTTACATCTGCTAATTGTTGTAAACATCGGTTGAGGGAGGGGGCGGAAGACCCCTCTTGTACTAAACTTTATTACCGCCATTTCTATTAAGGCCCCCTCTAGCGTAATAAGGGTTACAGAATTTATAGTTTGGTTTTAATCTGTGTATAAATTAAAGCTAAATAAAAAAAATGTGTTTCTAAGGTAATGTTAATTAACAATGTTATTTTGTAGTAAGAAAATTAAAACTTGTTCTGAGACACCGAGTTCGGCGAGAAAAGTTTTGGGAAGTATTGAGAGATCAATACATTTAATGAAGAATGTATTAACACCTAAGAAAACTTTAGAATCATCTCAAAATTTACAACCAATCGTTTTAACAAATAAGGTAAGTAAAAAGTTCTAAAAGGTCTAATTATGATTGCATGTAATTTAGGTTCGTTAATAAACTTTAAACGTTCAAAGATGGTAGTCTCGAGGCAAAATATAATAGATTATGAACATTACAATAGATAATTAGATGGAAGCTGGGTATTGTAAATATATCTAAACCGGTTGTTTTTTTCCTAAAGCACAACAGTAAAAATAATCAAATAATGGCGTGATTTATTATCTTAACCGGTCGAGTTCTTCGTCTGTGAGTATGTTAGGGCCGCGGTGAAATTGCTTGCAAATAACCACCGTCGTCGCGACGTAATGATATGTACGAGTGCGGTTGCGAATAATGAGAAATATGGGGTCGATGTCTGTCCAGTGTATTAAGGAGCCACCGACTCGTAAATACAACAAACGTGCTCGAACGTGAGTTGCACTCAACCGACCGTCCTATTCGGATTACGGAGCCTTCTGAATCGTTTGTTGTCTTGCGCGATTTTCAATTTGCGTCTTCTATTGCCCTTAATCTCGTTTCGCACGGTCTCTCCCTTCTTATTTAGCTTCGTTTTCTATAGTTATCTACAACGCAGCCCGCCGTTCAAATCGTAAATTTCTTTTAGTTTCTGTTGTTGCAATCTCTTTGAAATGGTTATCGCGTGTCGATTACTTTGACGCCTTCTTCAAATAGACTTGAATCTTTATTTTTCATCGCTGAAATTAGTTTCGCTTTAAATTTTTTTATCTTTATTTCAGTTTTGTTATTTTTTTATTTAATTAAAGCTATTTCTTGTTATTTTATTTAAGGACCTCTTCAATGTTTCAACCACACAGTGCAATGATGCGGAATTTGTTATCAATGAGCTGGAGAAAGCGTTGGCAAGAAAAGGCATTGATTGTCATAGAAAAGGGTATGTAAAGCATTATTGTTGGAAATTATTTAATTTACTCTATTCAATATAACACTTTAATATGCTAGGCGTTAAAATTATTAGTATTGGTTATTAATTCGTGATATTAGAACATTTCAAGTTAAATGTTTTAATTTGGTAAGGATTTGGTAGACAAAAATGCATCTTCAGAGATAATAATTTTTTATATAGCAAGGTAATAAAAGCTTATTAGTATTTTTTAGGTCAAATAACACTTGTATATTAAAAGAAGGCTAAATTAAATTTTATTAAACGGGTTAAATAGGTAATACTTCACCATGGCCAACCAAAATTTTACAACAGTACAGAAAAACAAGTTTATTAATGATTTTCTGTGGTTTGGCATTGATAGGTTCTTTGTTTGGTGCCGCTGGGTGTATATTTTCTTGTAACTCGAGCGGACGTCTTGGCTTCTCGTAACAAATGGATGATTTTTGACCCCCATTTTACGCTGATTAGCAAATGAATAATGTCTCGCGCGGTTCGTGGCTTTACTCAGTAATTGCCTGTTGAAATATTGGTCTCGCCACTAATAAATTATGTACTCGGAATACTTGTTCTGTACTTGTATAATGTTACCATACGGTACTACGCTTAACCTTTTAACGTACAAACTAACCTGATAGATACAAAACGTTAGTTTTTGGTTGATATATAAAATAATTAAACCCTGCTGATTTTGAAAACCTGGAAATGATACTAAATTCCGACATTTTTATTTTTGGTAAGTATAACATAAAAATATTGAGGTTCTAACCCAAATATCTTGATTTCATTCCAAAGTCTATTGCTGATATCAGGTTTAGGAACCTGCAGCACCATCTAATTGGATATTCCGCATATTATGCGACAGTGCAACTGCTGAAGTAATATTCTTTTGAATTTGTTTCCTAAATAATGAAGTAGTTACTTAAGATTATTTAAACAAACTTTATTTAGCTTAGTTTAGTTTAACTATTTTGGTGTAAATAAGGTACTAATTAATTCCGTAATGATCACAATAGTGTGCATTGGGGTACGTCAGACCGCATATATTAATACAAAAATGTTATAGAATGGACGTTATTGTCCAATTGCCTGCTAATTAAGAATTTGTAATAGATTTGTAACAACTGGATGTAAGTATATACATTGCAATTACCTATTTGTTTTTTAACATTGCAACAGCAGCATTCGATATAATAAGAGGATAAGTTAGAAAATTATAAATATTTCATGTAAATTTATAAAAAAGGCTAGTGGAAAGAAAATATTTAGTAGTTAACGCAACTACACCCAAATTTTTAGCTTTAAATTTTTGCCGCGTGGCGTCCTTTGTGCTACACTACCCGGGCGGCTGACCCTGCTAAGGTATCACTCCTGGGCCACAATGTACTGCTTGTACATTGTGGGCCGCTAATTTTAAACTTTTATTTTTTATTGTCCACTCTGTCTTTATTTTTTCTACTGTTGGCAACATGTTTTTTTTCCTTCATCTTCGGCTTTTGTCAAAAGCTAGAATTCGAGCGCTGTGGTCAATTGATGGAACGTTTTAAGATAAGCTGTCGCGCCGCTTAAGTCTTTTCATACTCATTTAAAGAAAGCGCGGTTGCGTTGTTAAACGGTTAATGTATTATTAAATTCAGTATTAAAAATATGGATAATTTCTAATCGTTTTCTCATCTTTAATTACTTACTTCTCGAGGTATTGAGTGGATATGTCTTATTAAATATTACTCGAAGATCCTTTGCAAATCTATCCTTTACTTATTTTGTTTCTGGGTAATAATCCAAACGTTCATATCGAAAGTAGTTTTGAAAAAGAATTAGCTTATTCTATTCCTGTGATTATGACCACGACAATATAACAAATAGCTGAAAGATCGAATAAGTAGATTTAATCTATTTAATACTTTTTGTTTTAAAATAATGGTATATCAATGTTTGCATATCCCAATTTTTTTAAATGTTACTACATTTATTTAACACAAAAGCAAAATAATCAACACCGAGGAGATCAAATGCAACATCCAAGGAACCGATAAGTAAACTGTTAAACAGGTGAATCGCTTCAAATCTTTTTAACGAAGAGAGAGAGAGAGCAAACAACGAAAGCACCTTGAATTTCGGGATGCCTGCGAGGCATTGTTTAAAAGAACAAATACCTCCACACCGAAAGCAAAATCTAGATATATAAAACGGACAAAAGACCCATGATAGCATGCGTGGCAGTGACAAGACCAGATATAAGCAGGGCTCTATAAATGATGAGAACAGTCGAGATGAAAACATTAAGAACTATACAAGGTAAAACTCTACACGATAGAATATGATGCAGTATATGCAACAATGCAGAATTCAGGACATAAGATGGGTGGGACAGAGACGATGATTCTGGGAAAAACATGTAAAAAGAATGGAAGACGACAAGAACTCGTTAAAATCGCAAAAATGAATAACTCAGTAGAAAAGGAAGGATGTGTTGGCAATGAACAGGCAGTAGCCTACCAATATGGATATCCACATTAGAAAACAGAAGAATATTTTTGAAAGGTTACTTACCTATCTAGGAAGGTTCTACTAATAAGTTTTCTTTGATCTGTGAATGTACTGTTTACCACCATTACAAAGAACTTCGTAAAATAGTGTATTTGCAATTTCTACCTTTGATTTTTTAATCGTATCTTCATTACTTTTGGAATCTAAAGCATATTTAGATTATATAATATACAGGTGCTCTCGCATAAATCATAAAAAACGAGACTTTGTTGATGTACTAATACTACAAAAAGAGCCGGTAAAGAAAATACATGTGTCGACATTGCCAGAATGTCGTTTCCAATGACTTAACTTTTTGAATTGTTTTAAAACGTAATAAGTAAAAGTAAAGTTTGTATAAATCCGATTCTCAAAAATTCTTGGGTCATTCTATCGATTGGCATCAAACCAAGTATTTAAAGTAAGTGATTTAATTATTGTAATATTTGGATGTGTAAATATTAGAATAATAACTTTAGCTTTGAATCCAAAAAAACTGGAAACGTTACGGTAAATCCTTATGTTAGCACTCGCCGACTTACTATTGACGCTGAAATATTAAAGACAAATATTTTAAGATTATTAATTTAATTTATTTAGCAACATTCGAGTATTAGTCAATACCTATATACAGGGTGATTCACACTTAAAATATAATATACTTATAAATGTGACACTATAATTCCATATGAAATGAAGCAATAATGTATTTAATCAACCCTTTGAAATGCCTCAATTGGTCTCAACTTGTTACCAATTAATACCCTCGGTACACTCATAACGTATACCAAATTTGGTTTTTCTAGCTTAATATATTACGAAGATATTGAATGTTTTAAAAATTTAAGACCCAACTTTGAAGGCCTATAACTCCTGAGGGGTACAACTTAGTATAGAGATAAATTGCGTTAAATCATCTTAATTTATTGTCCTTTATATGTCACTGCTCTGTGACGGTTCTTATGTGAATCACCCTGTATACCATATTACCATACATCGCAATCAGCAATTGAAAGAGGAGTATCAAATGTTACATGAAATAGATGAAGAATAATGCAGAAAACATGTTATAAAATAAAATCTATACTATGTTGATTGTAGAGTATAAGATAACCAAGAGTCTAAGATCTTTGTCGTGACAACTGGGACGTATTAAACCAACCGAGCAGAATAGTATGTTTGAAGTAACCCCATCATCGGTTGTTATATAACCCATAACGATATTCGAAAAGGAATTACAAACAAAATCATTATAACATCGTTATTAGTAGACCAACACTTCACTATCTGCTTTCTTTATTGCCTTTGCAATTCGTCCTCCTCTTTTCTGCCCAGTTACTTTTTTGCCTTTTCAATCTGTTTTAAATGTTTTTCATCTCTTACCAGTGTCTTGCTCAATCTAGTCTATTTTCAGTCTTTCTTCCCACTGCTATTTTCCAATCTTCCTCGTCTTTGTCTAGTTTAATTTTTGCTATTGTGGTCTCTCTTCCGTTCCGTCCGCTCTCCTTAATCCATTTCTTATAAGTCTCTGTTTAGGTTATTTCGTTTAGTACCAGACTCTTTGCAATCTTCTCTGTATGGTTCCTTGCCTTCCGTTTCAAGTCTCCTTCGTTACAAAATCCTCTTTACCCCAGTTCTTCCTCGCTTTTTCAATTTCTGTTCTCTTTCTTCTACAATTACTCTCCGTTTCGCCTTTTCAGACTTTGTTTAGTCCCTTGCTTCTAAAAGCAGTCTCTTTCCATCATTCATCCTCAGTGTGTAGTTCATTTCCCCCTCCAGTCCAGTCCTCATTCCATTCTTTATTTACTTTTTTCTTCAATTATCAGACATTACAGAAGAGGGGAATCTAAGACAAAGATAAAATATCATTTTTGAAGACATAATATATAAATATTTCGGCGATTGTTGCAGTACACATTAGTTGTTTGCGGGAATTTCGAAAGATGAGCTACGAGCACTTATAGTTACATATGGTTAAGTAGTTCTTTTTATTTACAATTTCCCTTTTTCGTATTAAAATTTTCTTAAATTAACTTATTCATGTCCACTACGATGTTTACGCTTTCTTTCAGATGGTAGATCATACTCTACCATCTTACCTTTATATTCAATTGAGCTGTATGATGTTTTTACAACTCCCTTATACATTCCATTTTATGCATACTCGACTTTGAGATCGAGATTGTATAAAATTTCCATGTCTTTCACTCTGTTGGTTTGAAGGTTTTCAGTTAATATGGAGTTAATCGAGTTAACCAACAAAATCGGTACTAAACAATTGGTTAATTAAATAAAATTATAAGGTTCGGAGCAATTTCGGTGTATTCCATATTGTTTCCTTCAAAAACGTTAACAGCCGATGAAATAAACGATTCTTTAAATTGTTACGGAATATTTTGAAATGTGTTTTAAAAGAAGACAAAATTTAAAAAAAAACTTAAGTAGTGCTTATTTTCTTAATAGCCCGGTTTTATAAACGTTCATCCTGTTAACCGTTTGATTAACTAGCTTGGTTGGTTAACGGATCATGTTAGCGTTTAGGTAACACTAATTGCGCCCTTTTTTTAGCTAAAAACAGAACTTTTTATCGTCTCTACAATTAAACTAAAACAACATAGACTATTATTTGTCCTAATCTTTTAAACAATTTTATTAAAACGTTGTGAATTCATTTTCAGGGAACATTTGCTCACTTTTATGTCTATATTATGAAATCTCATTATTTTAATTCATTGAGAAGAAATTGTATTTGATGCATTCTTTTTCTTGTTTTTATAGGTTTAGACTTCGTGGAAAAATGGAACCAAATACACTTACTAAATTTGGTGGTTGTTCATTTGAGTTAGAAATTTGTTATTTGCCGAATATGGTAACGGCATCGAAGGTAAGTTCTGTTAAAACGCCGATAAAATCGACATCTTCAGAAATGGAGAGGATGAATGTTCCATCGGTACCGGCTACTATTGGAATAAGAAGAAAACGGCTTAAAGGTGACGCTTGGTGTTATAAAAAGGTGTGCGAGCAAGTTTTAGCACTTACCGCTACTGAGTTAAGACAACCTAAAGAATCTTCTGTGTAGTTATTCAAGCAAGAAAAAATAAATAAAATAAAGGGGTTTTAAGGGATCAAAAATAATTATGTATTAACTTTTGTATTCGTATTTTTATTTATTAGTATCAATATTATTATTTTATTATTATACACTTTACACATATCTGTTTAAAAAATATTATTCTATTTGCATGCAATTAAATGATTTATATGATACAATTTTTTTTCATCAAAAAGTCCATTAACCCAATTCCAGGCAATAATAATTAAATAATTATTTAATTTATCAAAATGATATTCATAACCACCTGTACTTTCATTGTAATCTTTATTCTAGGGAAGATATCAGGGTGCATCTAATTCATTCAAATTTATACTTTACCTTCGTGTAACTGCATTAACGGTCTCAGTTAATTACCGATCCTAATTACGCCAACATTTTATAACCGGGAATTGAATGAGAAGAGAAAGCTGTTAGGGCCGGAAAGAGTGTTGGAAGGGTCGGGAACGACGGTTAAAGGTTTTCGGGCTTGGTGGTTGGTTTCCCTATGCGGCACGTGTCACGGAAATTCCACCTGTCACGTGACACCTGATGGAGCGCCGCGTTCAATCAAATTGGGCCGTTAACACGTGTAGGTACCTGTTGTATTTTTTATATAACCGGGGTCGCTCTATGTAACGCATAACATATGGGCGGAACAAGTGCTCCGGACAACTTGTTGCCTATTAAATTGAACTTCCCCGCATTAGCACACACGAGTACCTATACTAGGTATAACTGGCGCGGTCGGCGTTTTAATTGCGCTAACGGAATCGGGAAAATTGAGGCGTAATTCTACGTTGGAAAGCGCGAGCACGTGGTCGTTACGGGGAAATAACGGACGTTCTGTATTAATGTGGCCCTCTTTTTTTATAATTGCTCGGACTATATTTTTCTTTTTCGCCAAATAAATAAAACGAAACACGTTAAAATCTACGTACTTAACTTTTACTTCTTTTTTAATTTACCACCTAGGACAATAATCACCTTAATAAACCGTCGTTTGATTTCTTTAGGTTCCATGTACAGTTTAATTTTATATGTAAATTTATTGTAACCTATTTTACTTTATTTACCGGATATTGTACAGTTGTTTAGAAAATATCACAATTATTAAAAAAAATGTTGTAGTCCACTTTTTTTGTAAAAAAAATAATATATTAATGAGTGCAGATTTAATAAGAAGATTGTACCTATTCTTGTTTTTCTTTTAGAATGTGTTCTCACTTAGTTCAATTACATTTTCATTAAGGTAAATTATTCTATCACGTTGTTAAATAATTCTGTGTTGGATGTGATGAACCACTCTGTTCTTCAGATACTTAAACAGAGTCGTTTAGTTAGTGAAGCGTTTAGGAAAGGAATTCCTTTTGATAAAACTTTATATACAAAAAAAGTTTTATAGCAGATATACCAAATCTGCGTTGCTAGACGAAACTAAGTAGACAGCAAGCAAGTGGACTCAAATGCACTGTTAGAACTAAACTTTGGCTAGAACAAATTAATATTTATCCTGAAGGTGATTATATTTTAAGCTCTGCATTGACGTATCGATGAACAAGCGCCATTCAATTATACCGCAATAAAAAGTGATTGTTTATACCTATACGATTTCACGAGAAAATTCCAAAAAGAGTGCTCTTAATATTTTCCATATAAAGTGGCTGCTAAGATTGAGACAAATTGATTAAAGGTTATATAACATTTCAACTTTTATAGTCATGATAAACATTTAAATATAAAATTTCAATCAAAATGTACCTATAGTCGGATGTGACATTATACTTAACATACCGATGATAAATCTAAAAAACCTAATTATGTAATTTTCTGTTTATGTAAACCTATGATAACATGGTATGCCAGTAATTGTGATTCGATGCACTAAAACCATAGAGTCAGTATGTTGTTCAATATTTTGCCAAAAATGCCATTTAGTACGTTATTTATAAACTGAACTGCTTGGGGTAATATATGGGCAATAGATTCACGGAATTAATTAACGACCTCTTTTTTAACTCTGGCATGCTTTATCAGCTCATCTTGAACCTGGCCAGAAAAACCTAATCAAGTTGTCCGGTTTTCTTGTTCTAGACACATATGGTAAATCTGATTAGTCACTTATACTGTCTTTCTCAAACACAGTCTTTTAAGAAATTCTCATGAGTTAATGAACAGTTGGAGGAGAGGCCCTTTCTTATTTTTAGCCCAATAACAAAGAAAGTGTAGAGATTTTAGAAAATAAATAACTTTATTACGTCATTCTCCTCTCGACCTTATTATTACGCCTTATTCAAAACAGTATACTTAGATTTTAATATACTTAGACTTTGATTCTTTGAAGATTTATTGGTATCCACATTATCGAATAACTAACAATGACGTAAAGGTGGAATACTTAGCGTAATTAATTTTTTCAATAAACTATTCACGATTACATGACGCAAAGTGAGACATTGGCTTAAATCTTTACTGAGTTCTGAGACAACACATCTTATATTAGAGCGTAACCGTATTAAAATGTTATTCAAACACACACTTTCAAGTTTAAGTTGAGAAAAGTGTAAAGGTAAACATATGGAATAACCGGTGCCAATCTGATGTCATTTCAAGAAAGTTCATGCGTTCTATACGTTCCGTTGGAGTGGTTGAGTCTCACTCTGGTCATATACCTGAATTATAGTTGTTCCTTTATATTGCTACAAAGGAGTCTAATATTAATAAAATTGTACTAATATCTACTAATACTTGTGTTTTCTTGTATGTTTTCAACAGTTTTTTGTATGGGTGTTTAATAGTATGTCATACTAAGTCCACTTGTGCTTATGATGTTTATATTTTCAACTGTTCATCTCGATCGTCCGTATAGCTAAATCCAAGTATTTTTCTAACTTAAGTCTTTCTTTTTAAGTTTACTGTAGTACTTCCACTCATTGAAAAGATTTCGTTATTTCCTTCTTTCTTGTTATTATCCGCATCATCATTGTTCTTTAAGTTTTCCCACATTGATTACGCTGATGCCAGGATGAGCGCCACTATCATATAATGCAACCCAACACCTCCTATACAAGTGTTGTAGTTCTTGACAATACCGGGCCTCATTACACAATAGTACTTTCTTATGTATTTATCACTTCACTACAATAAGATTATGCATACTGTCCACACAATGATCAAATGAGCCTCTCTCAAGCTTCTTTAAATACTAGTACTTTATAATACTCAATCTTAAGTAAATTATCACTGATTGTGAGTCGAAGTACTGTCACCACTAATACTTACTTCTGGGTTGGGTTGGGTTGGGTTAGGCTTCACTGTGCCTTTTCCAACATATATTTCAAAGCCATAAATGATGCCAGCTCTGGAAAATATTTTAATTTCCCATTCATTGGGCTTAATCCGTACAAATTACTGGAGTGATAAGCGTTGTTTGGAATAATTTATCAATTTCAGGACTATCAAGCGGCTTCATTCCATTGAGATGTATAAATTTCATAGTTTGTCGAATTGGCTGCGATACATCATATCTACAATTGAGGAATCTTGTTACATCTGTCCAGTATATTCTATAACTTAGAATTTTGACAATTATATTTAATATGTGTATTGCCAAAGATATTGCCTATATTTTTTGTAAGTTTTCCTAATTTTTGTACTATCTTTCTGAAGCAAACTAGGAAGAGTATGAAACTTAATATAATAATAAATAATCGTATAAATGTTAATTTGTTGTTTTGAATCTTATAGGTATTAAGATGTTTTCGGGATATTAAAAAATCTTTACACAGTAATGAACAAAGATGCCAAATTTTCCTGAATCAAGTCTTCATTTTCGTAGATATGTGATGCAAAAATTGAAGACGGCAATTTTGTTTTACTTTTATGGAGATATTAATTGGTTCAAATATCCGAAATTTGATGAAAGATGTTGTGTTCGAGACAAAATTGAATAACCAAGAACGATTCTTTAGGAGTACACGAAAATAATAAAAAAAAACTCGTAGAGAACTTTATTGAAATGTGTCGCTCAAAATATTAATGCTCCACATTGTTTTTTGCCTGATAATTTGGGAGAAGTGTCATTGAGCACAGTGATTGAGTATCCAGCATACTGAGAAGATTCAATAAAAAATTGTGAGCACGGAAACAACGTATAAAAGAAAAGGATTGGAAGCAATATTGACAGAATATAGTGAGAGTGTGATGCAAGATAAGTTGGAAAAATTTTACAGCTTTACTATTTAAGGTGATGGACTGGGATCTGTATATCTATAGTAGAGAGGTAAACAATCGTATTTCCATAATAGAAATTTTTTAGAAATGAGCAGAACAATGTTTATAGCTATTTAATTTTAGAATTTGGTGAATCATCTTACTGTATAAGAAGTTGTAATTGTAAATAAATCATAGTATTTTATGTATGTATTGTTTTTTGTTGAAATCAGAATACTTCTAAAAAAATTTTTTATAAAATAACTGTTTTTTCTTTGTTATGCCCTTTAAATTACTGCGCAGACGTGGTAACTTATCAGGCAATGATACAGGATTTCTTACAGATTTCGAAATATTTAAACTTTTAAATTCTTTCTCATTAACATTATGTTTGTAAAAGATAGTGTTAGGGTAATCAGTTCGAACTTGAAAATGAACCACATTTGATGTTAAAAAAACTTCTTTTTCACATTGAACACATTTTCAATAATCATATATTACCATCATCATAATGTTGCGGTTTTGACTAAATTATTAAATTTTCTATGGTGGAACCAGCCATAGTATTTTCAGTCCATTTAATCAATGCGGACGTGATTCCCCCCTCTTCCAGCTTCTGATTCATCCCATACTAAGCAATAGAAAGTATTATTTGTTGTATCACAAATAGTAAAATTTAAAGTCCATAGCTTAAGATAATAAAAACTTCAGTTACTTGATAAGTATGGAGTGGGTAGACATTTTTATAAATGTAGCATTATAACCTTCGTTTTGCCTTTGGATTTTTTACTTTGTTCTTTCTCATTTTTTTAAGCTTATACCTACTATCTGCTTCTTTCAAGTGA